CAAGAAGCAATATATGTGGAAAATATGATATTATGTTTATACCTAGCAGCAGTTGCAATATGTATTTCAGTAGCAAGGCCAAGGCCTGAAATGAGAATGGAGAAAGAGCTGCTCACTCATCTCTCACACAGCCAACACACTTTATTTTTTCTTGGGCTAAATTCCTGTGGTGGCAGGAGTATGTTAGGTCCTGCCTGAGGTTTGTCTGACCAGATGTGATCATCCTGGGCTCACTTTAAAGCAAGTGCAGAGACAGAGGCATATCTGGAAGATGCTATCTTGTCTTCCCCTGGACATCCCCTGTAGGATGATGCAAGTCACACCCTTGCAGTGCTTGCCTCTCTGTTGGGATAAGTGGGCTCCATACGGGCATCCCTACTGCCGATCCAAGTGGCACAGAGGACATTGGAGCTGGGAAGCAGCTCACCTCCATCTGTCAGGTCTGGCTTAATGCAGAACATCTTGCTCCTCCTCCCACTCCTTGGTTCCAAAACACTGCTGTTACTGGAGACAGTGGTGTTACTGGGTGTGGCTACTATATTGTCTCTTGATTAAAGGTTCTGGATCCTGTCAGCAGGTTTAGCTTTCTCAAAGATTATGCCTTACTCCTTCCCTCCTCTGAGGTGATGCAAGCCTAACAAGTCTGTACCTCTAATTTTGTTCCCACCCATCAGTCTTCTGTCAATGCAGACTGTCAGAAGCTGTCTCACACCTTGTTTTCAGGTAGCATGTAGCATAGAGAGCTCTCAGCATTGACTGAATCACACCACACTTTGGAAAAAAATAAAACAAATTACATAATAAAAAATCAGTGTTAATACCTAGAAGAAAAGCCTGTAAGCGGGTAACTTTCCTGTCCAAAACAGATTTAAGGTGTGTAAGAACTGTTGTGGCTCTGACCAACTGACAATCTGCAAAATAAAGACCATTGCAGTTGAAACATCAACTCTTTTATTGTAGTTGTTATTGTGTTAAAAAGCATCTCCTAATTTAAAGAACAAAAGTATTGGAGCACATCTCTAAATAACTCATTTTGACAGTAAATCATTTGCACTATTAAAAATATTGCCTTATATTGCTAATCTAAGTCTATCCTAATTCTGCTGTCTAGCATGGGATTGTCATTGTGCTTGTTTCAAGCAGCCTGAAGATTAACAGAGATCTCTTGAGTCTGAAGGCTGTGATAAAGTGCTAAAGGATGTAGCCTTTGGATTGTATTAATGTTACTCAGTATTTATGCAATGCATTTTTACTTCATGGTTTACAAGGTCCCTGTCAGGCTCCCAGTGTGCAAGGTTTTGTACAAAACAGAATACGTCCCTGCCCTAACGGTGAGCAGAGAGCAGCATGTTTGGGTGCTTCACTGTTCCCAGTTGTCACCCTCTTTCTCTGGCTGTGCACCATGGACAACCTCCTCCATAATTTTATGTTTTAAACCTCCCCATCTTTTTCTCCTCTGATTTGGCTGTGACACTGCTTTGAGGCATCCACTGGCTGCTGTGGGTTGAGCCTGTGAGTCTGGACAGGAGAAAAGGCAAGTGAGGAAGCAGAGGAGCCAGATCATCATCCTCGGCAGTCTGAGGCAGTTAATGGCCTCTCACTGGCCCACCCTTGCTTGTGAGCATCATGGCAGAGGTGAGCAACAAAGCAGCACAGTCAGTGGAGGGCCTCACCAGCGCCAGTGACACTGTGGGGAAGTTGTGAAGACAAAAGGTAGCAGAGATTGGCATCAAGGCCTGGTTTAAGGTGGGAATCAAAATCCCAACAAAATGTTTCTAAGCTCTTTCTTAAAGAGTTTATTGTTCTTCTGCCCACCCCCTCCTTTAGTCTTTGGATCTCTCAGTTAAAATAGGAAAATTGTTTCACTCTTGTTTTTCTCTAGCTCAGCGCTGGGCTCCTTTCCCAGACCAAGTTTTTAAACTAATTTTAAAAAGAGACTGTTGCCCCATGAGACAGTGAGGAGGCAGATATGCTCTCTGACATGCCATAGCATGTTTGCTGGCACTATTGTGCTCCAAGCCAAATCTTGATATGTCTGCTGAATAAAATGGTGTTTCTCCAGTGAGACTGCTTACCGTTGCAGACACTTTCTTTTTCCCTTCCTTCTCAGAAGAAAGGGACAGTCACATACAGCACTGGAGTCTCTCCCAGAGGTCATGGAAAGAGACAGGAGATCCAATCCGGAAAAATATTTGGAGTCAAGAATGTTTTGAAAGACTAGAGTAGACGGGTCAGGCATGTGAGGAGATAGATCTTCTATTTGTAGCAAATCCAGTGTCAGCTGTGTGAACAGAGACAGAGCTGGAGGATCAGTGTGGGAAAGCAGGCAGACAAGCCTAGCAGCTTCTTAGTGGCTAAAGGGTTTGAATGCTGGCATGCTTTTCAGGTTTGTTTTGCAGGGAGGTATTCTTTTCATTGAGACATTGGTCTTGCTGCTTGAGACTCTTGGGGAAGAGGAAGATTGGTCATCCATGTCAGGTCAATGAACGTGGATGAAAATCCTTTCATTCTCCTTTTCCTGTGTTCCTCCTAATACTTCCTTCTTATTTTCTTATCACAGGTGACTTTTCTCAAAATGCCCTCATCTTTTCACTTGACCTATCACAATCTACCTCCTGTGTTTCCTTACACCTATTTCCATTTGTTTTCCTCTTTAACCTTTCCTTAGTACCTCAGTTTTTCTCAACTCTAATTTTTGCCCAATATCCTCCTTTTCCCTCTGGTCCACACCATATTCTGGGTCTTTACCTCTCTTCTTGCTCTTCCCTCTCTCCAGTCTCTTGGTCTTTATTTTCCCCAACACACTTTATCTCTGTTGTGCCTTGCAAACTCTGCATACATACAGTCTGCTGCCTGCCTACAGCCTCTCCTGTCTCCTACGCACCCCTGTCTGCCACTGAGAGATCAGCTTCCTCATATGAGGAAGTGGAGGGGCAGGCACTGATCTCTCCTCTGTGGTGACCAGTGACAGGACCCAAAAGAATGGCCTGAAGTTTTGTCAGGGGAGGTTTGGGTTGGATATCAGGAAAAGGTTCTTCACCCAGAGGGTGGTTGGGCACTGGAACAGACTCCCCAGGGAAGTGGTCACAGAACCAAGCTCCCCAGAGTTCAAGAAGCATTTGGACAATGCTCTCCGGCACATGGTGTGACTCTTGGTGTGGTCCTGTGCAGGGCCAAGAATTGGACTCGATGATCCTTGTGGGTCCCTTCTAACTTAGAATATGCTATGATTCTATGATTGCTTTTCTCACATGTCCCTTTGACCACATCATCTGCCTCTTTGCATCTTCCTCGGGTTCCCAATGCTCCATCACATTAAGCATTGGGTATTTGCCTGCACTGCTGGTGCTGCTTCGCTTGTATTCTCACTCCTCAATGGGTTTGGAGGAGGCAGCTCCAGATCCTGTGCTGCCACCAGCTGACACTGCCACCACCAGCTGACACTGCCCACTGCCGACCCAGTGAGTATTTTACCAGAGCCCTTCTGCTCAGATCAACAGCCTTAGGGCTGTTTTGGATCTGATCTTAATACTCCTTTTGGCATCAGTCCCTATAGGCCTCACTCCCTATCCCTGCCTATAGGTATAACTCCCTGTTGTGCCCATAAAAGCACTTGATAGTAGATAAGCTACTGCAGCACTGAGTCATCAAAACCTCTGACCAACTGAGAAGATATTTTCTTCTGCTGCCCAGGTAATTTCAAGTCTGGGATCAGAAAAACATCTAATAGCTAAGGTTTAGCTTCAGTTCTTGATTTCCCAAGAGCCTTTTTACATCCAGGAAAATGAAATTTTGTGTCTGTACTTTCCTTTCTGTCTCCTTTCCTGCATATGACTAACTCTTTCTGTCAGGCCTGGGTGACCAGTCATCTGCCTGGACCAAAATCAAGCCCACTTACTACATTTCCTGCTGTTCCCCATCCTGTCCAGCCTGCTTCTGTCTCCCCAGATGATATCACCACACTAAGAGATGCTGACGTATTTCCTTGTCTTGATACTTCCAGAAGTCATCCCTGAGTAGAGGAATTATAGAGTGCAGTCTATTTTTAGCCTTTTACAGCCTCCTTCTCTGACCTTGGGCAGGCACTTCAAGCACTCACTGTCCCATTTCATCACGTGTAATATGGACTACTCCTACATTGTAGAAGTACTTGTGGAATGGTAGCACTTGGACTTTTTTTGCTTAGAAAAGACATTTTAAAAGGAACTTGTGCCTTATTGGCACCCCGGATTTTTTAAATTGTTGGCAACACAGCTGATCACATTTCACTTCATGGGTGGGAAAATGCCATTTCTTGACTCTGAGGAACTGCCCTGTAATGTTCTTTCCATCCCCACTATTCTGAAAACACCAATTTTCCCAGTCACTGAAGGAATACAGCCTTTTACTCAGCAGTAGCCAAGGCAGCTGTTCACTGGGCAGATGGTAAACTCAGAGGAGCGCTTTCATTTCCTTTTTTTGCCAGTTCTACAGGTTTGGTCAAAATGTTCAGAGGGTCTTCATTCTTCTGCTTCTTTTTAATCTCTTCTGAGAGAGGATCTGCCATGGTGAGGTGATACTGGAGGGTTTTGAATGCCCCATACAACGCCAGGAGAGAGAGGGGTGAATGTCTTTCCCAGGCATCTAAGCAGCATGTGGCTGGCAGCAGTAGTGATTACAGTCACCCCAAAAAGAGGAAAAGTGGATTCCCAGCAGCTCCAATATCTGCCACCTCTCTTCTTCCTCTCCCTCTCTCTTGTCCAGGCTTGCAGCTGGAGAGGACAACTAATACCTTCTTTGGGGCGGTGAATCTGACTTTGCAGCATCCCCCTTGACAGCCCCAAGAACATTTTTGGCTGTGTCAGCCAAAATTCCTGCCGGGGACTGCTGCAATGCAGCACACCACACCCCCGCCGGCACTGAGCCCCTGCCTGGACAGCCGGTGCTGCTCAGCTCCAGCCCTGCACTGCCATAGGCTTCCCTCCTCTTCCCAACGAGCCTGATGATTTCAGGTTGCTTGGCGTTATCTCCCGCGGGCAGTTGGCGTCCGCAGCGTGTGTCAGAGCAGCCTGGCGCACGGTCGGTTTCTCAACGTGCTGCCTGCAGAACGCGCTGGCTCCCCGAAGGGATCGGCTGTGGTTTCATATTTCATTTCCCTCGCACGCTACACCCGAATTCCAGACGCTTTCTGGCTTCGCTGCTGCATGGACTTAGAGCATAGGTCCTTTGCCGTACCCAGCGGAGGCAGACGGGGCTTCCCTCAGCGCCGGGGAGTGGACCATGAAGACGTCAATTGTATTTTTGCTTTGCATCTCAGTTTTCCCAGGCTTTTCCCAGGGCAGAGTTGTTAGAGAGGATGAAACTGGTTTTGCTGAGTGTAACGTGTTCTTCTCTGGACAAGTCCCACCCGAAGGATTTACGGAGCCGTTCCATGTGAAAATCTGTCAACAGTACAACAAAGAGCCACGCTTTGCAACCCTCTACAGTACTAAGGACAAAATCCCCCTTTATTCTGCTTTTAAGTTTACAAAGCCAGCCCAAAGCGAGAAGGAGAACTGGCTGGTTGAACCGCAGGTAAGTCAGCTTTTCCTTTGCTGTAAAGCAAATGTTCCCGGTGAACATTTCCACTGGGGTGAAGCTGGGCTAGGATTCTGCTAAGGAGTCAGGAACTCTGCTTGTTGAACTTTAGTTAGAATGAATTTAACATGAACGGAACTTATTTTTGTGCTTGGAACTAAGCAAACAAATAGTTCCTTGTCCCAGGTTGCTTATAATGAAAACTGTGAGGCTGCTGCAATACCAGGGGAGAGGAAAGTCCTCTTTGACACCAGCTGATGTGTCTGTCCTGCCGAGCCAGCTCTCGAGGGCAGGGAGAACTGCCGGTGGGTTAAACATCGCAGTGAAGTTTATTCTGTTGCCATTGTGATCGCAGTGTTGATAGGAGTTCTTTAGCTTCACTGAGCCGAGATAAAACATCCATTTGTGGTTCACCAAGTTGATGCTGCAGCTTTTTGGTGTGTCTCTGTGTTGCAGATTGTTGTAGGGAAATGACTTGCTGTGTCCTGGAGCGTACATCAAGCTACCCCGTCTGTTGAGCTCAGGAAAGATTGTCAGTGTACAAGGGTGCTTTGCTGGGGCAGGAATGGCTGTAGTGTTCGAACACTGTGATGGGAGTGCAGCCCTCAGGTGCTAGATGTTGCCAGAATCAAAGCTCACCCCTCTACCAGGAGAGTGTCTGCTGTGCTTATTTTTCCTGATGCGGGGTGATAAGATACTAAGGCCACAGGTAGTGAGTGAAGACAGGAGATCCTACACCCCTGTCTTCACCTTGAACTGTCTCTCTGCTCTCTTGGCTGGGTTTTGAGTTGCAGGAGTTCCTACTGGTCTTTTGATTTTCTCTCCTTCCACTTCACAGGCAGCTGTGGGAAGTGTCTGTTTACCCTTTTAAAAAAGAGGGAAGTGTTTTGCATACTCTACCATTATTGAGTTAAAGAAGGGTGATGAATTTTTAAAGCACAAAGAGGAGACCTAGGTGAGCAAGGATTTTTGGTCAATGCCATGGAGGCAGTAAGGTAAAGCTGGTGAGATGAGATCCTTCCTCACTTGCTTTGGGCACTGACACTTTCTGTAACCTCTAGACCCCATATTTACTCCTGCTTCTTGTGGCCTGACTGTCCAGACCTGCCCAGGCAGGCTCAAAAGCTCTTCCTGCCATGGAGCAGTGGGCAGCCCTTTTGCAGCAACTTTGTTTCTCCTGCGCCTTGCTCCGTCTGGCTTCTTTGCCCTTCCCTACTCCCTCCCTCTTTACCCGTCACCTTGTCTTTGTTCCTGTCAGCACTTTAGAGCCCCAAATCTTGTGTATCCTGCCACCAAAACCTACTGCAGCCTTAGAAATAATTGATCAGGTGCTACTTTTAGTTGCTCTGGCTTCTCCAAAGCATCCCTGCAGGTTTATATTCTTAGTTGACACTAGCGGGTCCCCTTCACCTATTGCTGAAATGCAGGTGTCTCAGAGATAGAAGGTAGCAGCTCTGCAGTTCACTGCAGGAACCTCCATCTGAGACAGAAAAGTATTAGGAAAAAAGTCTGCAGAAGAAACTGTAAGGGGAAGAAATCTGGACTATGAAAAATTCCTGTAACTCAAGAAATAAGTACATACACCCTTCTCAGGCACTACCACACTGGATCTGGGATGACAAATTGGGGAAGAGCTTTCATACCCATTATGTATTTTCTATCAAGGCTAGGTCAGATGGCTTCTGAAGGGAATCCTTAGCAACACCTGCTCTGCAGCATAGTCCAATGAGGTTATATTGCTGATTTCCTGGGCAATTTCCTTGCCAAGACAGAGATAGCTGGCTCAATTGCACAGTGGTATGTGCATGCACATGGAGATGCAGAAACATAGCAAATAGAAAGAAATGGCAATAGAAGCACACTCAGCACTTTGATGAGGGCCTCAGGTTTGTCATATGTTTTTCTTTTGGATAATGACATAAGTGGTGAGGAAACCGTCTCACCCCCTGCATGCCTACCTCCTCAGGAATGTCTGCCTGAGAAACAAATGCCAAATGTAGCACAGAGGCAGTAATTGGGTGAGAAGTGTGAGGAATGTCAGTGCCACCCACTGCCAACTGGCAGCTGGAAACAGCGAATTAATTCAGCAATTAGTGGAAAATTAGAGAGCAGGAAGGGTAGGCTGATGAGTTGGGTACTGATGGGACTCCCCCAGGCACAGGTCTGAAAGCCTGCTCTGCCACAGATTTCCTAGAGGTTGAGAGCAAGTCGCTTAGGTGTCTTTTACCTTATATCGTTTTGGTTGTCTGAAAATCTCTGTGTTTGATTCTTTCTGTAGCTTAGAGAGACATGGAAAACTCTGGAGTTGATTTTTCCATCCTAATATATGAGGGGCTGGATGAATCACCTTGTGTTTTCATTTGGCTGGTGACTACCACCAAGCAGATGACCAAGGTGGCATTGTGCAGCTATAGTACAGCTACCTCTGAGCTGCTCTTGCCATCTCTCTTGGTAGAGAGTCAAGAGAAACAGGTACTTCTAGAGCAATGTCTTTCTACAGAAACCTTGGCATAAGACATAATTTGCCTCCTCCCTGAGAAATGAATCCCATGCTAAATTTGGATGAAATATTTCCACTGCAATCAATGGTATAAGCATGCCTGAGTCAGTAGCAAGGGGAGTGGGATGCTGAAATTCACTCGGGTGGGGAAGGTGGGAGGCAGCATTGTCCTGCCTTGTTAAATGACCAAATGCAATGGAAGTTGCCTGCCCTAATAACTGTGTGTTGCCATACTTTTAATCCCCCTCTGCCTCTGCCCTAATAACTGTGTGTTGCCATACTTTTAATCCCCCTCTGCCTCTGACCCATTTTTGATACTGCACCCCCCACTTAATGACACATCAATATTGTTATGTGTTAACATCCATACAGGTGTTCAGGTCATAATTTTTTTTAAATCCCCATCCTATAAATGAGGTGTTTACCTGTCTGCTTGGATCTTGCCCTGAGCTGTTCCAGGTATTTGGACTGGTGGCTTCATGGGTGACTCCATGAATGCAGATATGCTTTGGGGTGACACAATCCAAAAGGTTTTTGAAGCAGTGAGGAAAGGTAGCTTACAATGCAGATTAAATGCAGTGCAGGAGACAGCTTGCCTTTGGGGCTGAGCTGGAGGAGGCATAAAAACCTCAGTTATGCATGAGTTATTACAAACCATAATATGAGTTATTATAAGCATAACTAGATGATGTCAGAGCCTTACACATGAACAGCACACAGCTGCATTTTTATCATGTTCTTTTTTAATTGGACCTAAACAATCCCAATGGTATGTACAAAAGTCTGAAGCTAGACAGGTAACCAGGGACGTATTTTCTTGATAGGCACTGCAAGATTTGTATGCAACAGCTCATAAAGAGAGAAAAATTAAGTTTATACCATCTGTTTGGTGTAGGCTGGGAATCTCTGACAAGAAGCAGAGCTGATCTGTCTTGGGTCTTTGCGTCCTTGTGGTATGGCAGCATTCGCCACGGGAGTGAGATGGGATGAGTGTCTCTGCGAGGGTGTAGAGTTCCAAAGGGTCATAGCACTGAGGGCAGTTCCTGGGCACAGCCTCACACCTGTGCCCTTTCCCCTCACCTGTACTATGGAATTAAACACACTAGGTGTATCTCTTGTCCCGTGGCACACCATCATCTCATCAGATCAGGGAGAATAGGGGGGTGGGAGTGGGCAGGAGAAGACAGTGATTTTGTTGAATGCAAAATGTCAGGCCTCATCAACCAGCTTGTGAGTTTGACCTGCCTGAGCAAGAGGAGCAGAATAAGTCAGCAGTAGTGTAGAATATGTCTTTTTTAAATGGTACATTTAAAAAAAGCTATGATTTGTGCATCAGCACATGGGACTCACTGTGTCCTTGCAGTCCTGAAGCAAGAAGAACCAGATGTTTCAAAATGAAGAGCAAGAAACATCCTTTAGCCGGAAGTTGAGGCAATGCAGCCCTCTGCAATGGCCAGTCTTGGCACTGTGACCAGGCTTGGTGCAGAGGGAGCCCTGTGCCTTGACTGCAGGGGTTTGGCTGATGCAGGAGGCCAGCCAGAGCTGCAGTTCCCAGGTGAGGGTGATGGACAGCTGCTGACACTTGCTGGCACTGGCCCTTTCACCCTCACTGTCAGCACAAGCTGGCGAACTCTGAGAAGGTAATGTGGATGCAAACTCTCTGTAAGGTTGCAAGGATGTAGTTGGATGTCTGTCCAAGTGCACTGCAGGGTGACCAGGGGACAGAGAATGACTAGGCAGTGATTCAAGGTAGACTATGAACTGACTGCCATAGATGTCTCCGAAGCACATATTAGTGCAGTAAACAGTTTATAGGCCAGGGGCAAAGGCAGCAGGTTTAATGGGGCCAGCACAGTGCTGGGAGCTGAGGGCCACAGCCTCTGAAACAGAGACTACTGGAGGCAGTGACTGCTGGAGATCGTCTGGCATTCCCGAGCTTCTACCAACATGTTGACCCTCTAATTTGGGAATGAAAATGACAATCTTGGCACAGCCCTCTGGAGCAGCTACAGGCAGTGTCAATGGGAGTGACTGTGGAGGAGACATGGCTGCAGCCACCTGGGGAAGATTGGACACACCCTGACATTTAATGCTTCTGAGAAAGACCTGAACACACCCTGACATTTAGTGCTTCTCCTTCCACTGCTGTAACTGCCTCCCCCCTACCCTGCCCCCTCCCTGTGTGCATGACTCCAGGACAAATTCCCACTGCAGTAATTGCTACCTCTGGCTCCACTACACTCCAGACACAAGCGGGTAGCACAGATTCCATCGAGGCACCCTCATCCATGTTATGCTAGAAGCTGTGTGGTCACTAAGGATGTTTCAGACTATTAATGACAGGAGGATCAGACTACTAATGATCAGCCCAGCAAGAGCCCTAGGAACTCACTGCTGTGTCTCTTGTTCAAGGGAGGGAAGTTCAAGGGAGGGAAGTTCAGGTCAGCTGACATGGTGCCTGTCTTCATTCTGGCTTACACAGTAAGTGGTGAGAGGTAAATGCCTTCTCTAGGCATCTTAGATACCATGGGTTGTTTTTTTCCCCTCATGGCTTGGATTTGATAGTTCAGAGGGACTGAATTAAGGTGGCATGGTAGCTTCTTAATGAGCTTCATGTACCACCATCATAGGATGATGAGAACATGGTCCTGAATCAAGCCATCTATTCAAATCTCTTCTAGAAAAAAGCCAAAGTAGGTGGCTGGTGAGATTCTGGAGGCTATGCTGTGGACCAGACTGGAGAGCTGCAAGTATCCTTTGCAACCTAAACCTATGTGTTTGACAGGGAAGCTAAGTAGAGAATACACTCCTCTCAAGCACTGCAAGGAAAGTAAGGAAGTGGTGCAGGATTTTAATCCAAGGTATGGCATGTAGTAGCAGTCATAATAAAAAGTACATTTGAAGGCCCATTTTATACATTGCTTTCTAGAAAGGTGAATTGCATCCAGTAACTCTTCTTTCTACTGTTTCAGATAGATGATCCAGAAAATGACTTGCATGAGATGGTGCATGAAGCTGATATCACTGGCACTGTGGCCAACCTTGGTGCAAATCAAGCCCTGACCTCAGACTATGTGGGCTCTGGCTATGAGAGAGGGCTGCTCAATCCCAGCTTGCTTCATGAGGAGGATTTCCAGATGGCCACTTACACACTCACGAATGCTGTCCCTCTAAGCCCAGCTCTGAGCAAAAACTGGCACAGAGACATCAGGAAGGTAGTGGAGCAAGCTCTGATCCCTCACTGCTCCAAGAAGGATCATCTGTATCTCCTCGCGGGTGCAATTCCTTCCAGTGTCCGAGTTAAAGGCAAGGTGTCTGTGCCAGAGAGCCTATGGCTGGCAGCCTGCTGTGATGCTCCGGAGGGATGGTCCCTGGGACTAGTGAAAAAGGTTAATGATGAAAACAACCTGGCGGACCTCACGGTGGGAGAGCTGGAGAAGCAGCTTCTAGCAGAAGTTCACTTGTTCAAGGGTGACTGTGGGAAAGACAAACAAAACCAGGAGAAAAGAGAAGCAGTATTGCAAGCTGTCAGTCAGATCCGCTCTGGGGAGCAAGTAGAAACAACTGACAGTCAGGAGACCAAAGACAGTGGCTGGGTGAGAAAAGTGGCTGGCATCATTGCTACCCCTTTCATCAAACTTCTGGAACTCCTCATCTACATCTTTGTGGAACTGGTGAAATTTGTGTTTTATTTTCTGTGGCTTGTTGTCAAGCGAGTTTGTGGTACAGTTCTGGATGGACTCTACAGCTTGTGGAGTGGGTTGGTGTCCTACCTAAAAGCCATCAGCATGGTGCTCATAAGCATTCCTTATGATCTGGGGAGGGTCATCATCAACATCTTCCTGGGCTTTCTGCAAATTGTTCAAGATGTGGTGTCCCTCACCTACAGGATCCTGAGCATCCCAGTGGGGTTTGTCCTTCACCTCGCTGCTTTCCCCTACTACTCCATCTGTGCCATTCCATCTGTCCTTAAAGACATAGCCACCGGTATTGGGGGCACCTTCTCTCTGGTCATCAATGCCACAGCCGCAGTTCTGCATGGCTTTTATTACCTGGCTGCTCACATAGTCAAACGATTTGTCCCTAAAGGCTCCTCTGATGACTGATAAGGATGGAAACCAAGGCTGCAAATACACGGAGTGAAGGAGTAGTGGGGCAATGCTTTTAAGATATGTGGAAAAATGCTGTCAATTTTGTTCTGGTATTTATTGTAGTGACATTATGAACTGACTGGGGAATAACAGGGAGGGCCGAGGCAATGTCTCTGGGGGCCACCACCATTGTAACTCAAATTCTGCCTGTTGTAAAATGTTTGGGTTTTATTGGTGCAGGCAACAAAGTTTCTGTGACTTGCAGGTGTCAAGATGCTTCCTCTGGGAAATGCTCACTAAATGTGGTACGAGGTTATTTCTTTCCGGCTTTGATAACACTGAGACTTACACAGTGGCAGTGAGCTCTGCAGGAGCCCATCCCTGCTAAGAAGGTGATGATGGTCAGAGAAGGATTTTAGTTACAGAGGGTTTTCTGGGACTTGAAGAAAAGAGAAGGAGACAAAAGTGAAAGGACTTGGGGCTGGGAAACAGCAGGGAGCAAGGCGGAATGAGGATAAGGTCCTGATGTTGATTGCATTCCTCATTGCACTGGGGTCCCACTGGTGGAGGGAGTGCAACTGAGTGCATCTCATGGTCCTCAGGCCTTTCCAGATATCTGAAATGGAGTGGATCTTGCTGCAAGGAAAGACACATTGCCCATTTTTTCGCATAGTGGGAAAGCATTTTCCCTTAGCCATACCAAGGCCATCTTCCCCCAACCTTTCCTTGCTCTCTTGGTGACCACTGAAGGTGTAATCCCTGAAGCTTCAAGATGTGATGTTCTCTGAAGGTCTAAGCCCCTGAATGTCTGAGTGTGGAAGCCCTTGTGCCTGCTCCAAAGCTCAGCGGCATCCAGGAATTGCACTTTTGGCTTAAAATCTGTTGCCACCTGCCTTGCCTCCGTTGAGAGCTGACTGCTCCTGAAGCACACAGGGGACTACAGACTGTCAGGTGGGAGGAGAGGCAGGAGGGGGTCCTGGAGTGCAGCACATGTTTTGCTGTGTAAACACCTGCCGAGTGAGCTCATGCACAAGCGGACATCTTAATATCAGAGGCAGAACCAACCCTTCTTCTGCATTGCTCATCATCTCACTCTTCACCTCTTCTCCTTGACAGCATGAGCCATGTCCCCTGACATCTGGGATACTGGAGCTGGGGTACACGCAGGGGATTTGCAGGGGACCATCAGAGGTTTGCAGCCACATGAGGGGCACAGGGACATTTGCTGCTGCTGGAGGAGGGCACAGGGTTGCTGCCCTTCCCCAGGGCTTTGGATCTCTTGATGCAGTTGCCTGCAGGAGGGAGGCTGTATGTCCCAGCAGTATTTACTTTTGCTGGACTCCAAGAGGCATTTGGGAGTCCTACATACATGGATCTTTCCCTTCATTCCCATCTCTGTCCCTCCCTTCAGGACCATGTTGGTGTGGACCTCTGATCTGCCATAGCATCCCATAATGAGTCCTGCGAGTGAGCAAGCAGGTGATGCCATCCCATAGGGGACGCAGTGGTGCTCTATTGGTAGTGGCCAGTCCTGGGTTGAAGAAAACCCAGTTACTAACACGACAACTTTGCCTGTGTCATGCTGCCTGCAGCAAGGCTGAGCTGGGGGTAGTTGGATTAAAAGGGAAAAGGAGATTTGCCTGGTTCATATGGGACAGAGAGTTGTTTCCTTAGCTCAGGGGCTGTGTCTAAGGCAAGCAGATGTGTGTGCATGTCCCAGATCAGCACACCCTGACCAGGTAGCACCCTGTTCAGCAGTGATGCAAATGGCAAAGTTGGGGGTGCCAACAATGGGGATGAAGTGGGAAGGCTGTGGGATTAGTGGTAAAAAAGGATAACTCCTTGTCCCACCCTTCATGGGGCACAGCTGGTTTATGGAGAAAGAGAGGCCATCTGCAATCAGTACTGGCTTTGTTGAAGAGGAAAGGCGGCTTTTGTATGCCAATATGGCTTTAGTGGGTAGAGTCAGCAGTGTTTTACTTCAGGGATTTTGGGTGCAAAGGGCGAGGTCCAGGTTGCTGCTCCCAGCAAGCCAACAGCAGCCTGCTAATGCTCTCCAAACTAAACTTTGCATCTGTGTCCACTCAAATATGCCTTTTCTGCTGCTGAGACAGGTGCGGAGCTGGTTTCCCACTCCTTCACGAGACCCTGTCTCAACCCCACCACTCCTCTTGGGCTGCATGGCAACTGTCAAGGCAGGAAAGCATCCAGCTCAGGTCCCTGGAGATGCCAGAGTGGGGTGACCGGGGCCCCAGCCTGGGGGACCCAGGATCCCCAGCAGCTTCTGAAGGCACATGTTGTGGCAGTAGCTCTCAAATGCAACCCAAGCACGGGAGGAGGAGCTGCCCCCCACAGCTGCCTGTCTTGTGCCTTCTGTTTGGCCTTGTCTTTGACCCATCTTAGCTGTGAAGTCTTGCTCAGTGGCCAGGGATGCACTTCTTGGGGTTTCTTCACCCAGAGCAGCCTCCCTACACCTTAACGCAGCAAACCCTGCATCCCAGCTCCACTGGCATCTCCAGTGCAGTGCCCAGTCACAGTGATATGGGAGCTCATTTGCTCCCAGAGGCAGCAAAGCTGGGGAACCTTAAGAAGTCTGGATTGTTGTAACCCCATCACAGTCACTCCCCAGCCTAGCTCGGGTCAGGCCCCCAGGTCTCTGCTGTATCTATGACTTCTGACTGCAAGTGGACAGTCCCTGAAATCTAAGGCACTGCAGCTCTGTAGGATTTGGGCAGATGTGTAACAGTGTTATTAAAATGGTCTTAACACACTTGGATTTCAAACACTAAGAACTGTAACTGTCATGGGGCACTTTTCTTCCCGGCTACATATCTGGGCAGGTGATGGGAAATCTGCCTCAAATGCTGAGCAATTATCACAGAACAAGCAACATCCTGCTACAAAATGCTGTTTGAGATTATTCTTATCTAGGCATGATTTATGGTTCCAGAGCTTTACTCTATCCTTGGAAACATATGGTTTCAACAAAATAAAATGACTTTTCCAAAGCAGGGCTGGTATAACTTTCTGTGGTAGTTGCAAATGAGATAATGTAATCCGGGGTGCCCTGACTAATCGAGAAAGCATCAGCAGCACAGTTGTTCTTTGTTACAGCTTGACATCTGATATTAATGGCCTTTTTGTGCTTTTAGTGCTTTTAAAACACCTTTCTTCTCTCAAAACACTCTAAGACTCAATTGATTAAGCTGCAGAATATGTAGGTAAAAGCTGAGGAGTTGCATGCAACAAATTTAGCTCTGCATGTGCCAGGAGAGGGGATGCTTTGATTCTTGTGAGATGCGATGCGATGCAACTGGGGTGCAACTTGATGGCCAGTTTGATACAGAAATCACATCACAGCAGCATGGTTCTTCACAGCTGACAGAGAGAAGCTCCTCTTGTATGGTGCTGTTCCTTGGACCGGCCTATTATCACAACTTCTTTAGAAGGAGAACAAGCACTCTGAAAGTGGCAATTTTCCTCCTCTGACAGTATGGAGATCCTGGGACGAGTAAACCAGATGTTGACACCTACATTTTGCAAATACCTGTCTTTGGGCAGACGAACCCCTGGAGCTGAGTCTGTATCTGTCTCAGGTGTGTAGGAGCTGGTGAGGCACTGGCACAGGCACAGGTTGCCTGGAGAAGCTGTGCCTACCCATCACTGGAAACAGTTGAGATCAGGTTGGCAGGTTGTGTGGAACTTTCAGCAACATGGTCTAGTGGAAGGTGTCCCTGCCTCAACCAGGTCACCCAAAGCTTCGACACAGGGGTCTCTGCACCTTGAGGTGACCCTGGTCTCTGCTGCATCCACCCTGGGACCAGGCATTGATAATGGAAGAGGGACTTAGCAATCCCAGCAGCACAGCCCTGGGCTCAGGCCCTCTGGGTCACACCTCTGCTGCCATTGTGTGTTTTGGAGCTCCTCACCTCTGTGTGGAGCTCCATCACCAGATCCGTCCCTCCCTCCAGCTAGGGAGCTGCTCCTGTTCAGCAGGGAATCGAGCCATGCTTGTTCACAGGTTATCTCTCCAGCATAGTCGTGCCAGAAAATGGGAAAGATATTGGAAAATAAATACCAGTGTAACTCGTTTGGCCAGGAGGGATTGTCTGGGAGCACAGAAGGTTAGGTGTGTCCAGGGTGTGTGTGTTAGTGTGGTTGCAATACTGTCGGTTTGGCATGGGATGATTTTGCTGCACAGTCTCCTAGGCTGTTGGACTTACTTTGATTTGGGAACGGATTCACTGGGCAACATCTGCCATTGATTTCCACAGAACTGGTGTTTCTAGCCAAGCAGAAATGCCTAAAGACTTTCCAGTGGTGTTAGTGTTACAGCTGTTTGGAAAATCTCCAAGGAAAGATATCCTGTCAGAATGGAGTGATTTATCAAACAGAGTTCTTTTCATGGCAATTTACCGTTTTTAGTGGAAAAGATTTTTCAGGACCAGGCTGGAACAAGCAAGGCCGAGAATCATCCAAGAGCAGCCCGGGGTCTGGATTAGAGATTTGGATGTGGACATTCAGCACCTGCTTCTGCCTAACAGTAGGTTTGGTATGTGAATATGGCTGTCTCCATCTCAGAGGAGTATCCTTCAGCCATGGCCCACCTTAGCATATGTGTAATTTCTCCCATTTGTAAGGGCAGAAAAAACCCTGTGTCCTTTCCAAAAATACTGAAATTGTGACAATATTCCTGGGAGGTAGAAGCCATTTTCTACTGAGCCACAAGTAAAATTGTCTGCAAAACTGAAGCAGAGGCTTCAAAATCCTCTGCAGTATCATCTTTATTAATAATTTGATATTTTAAACTAATTTAACATGGTGAGGAATGGACATCTGGAGCAGATGTCACTGTGTGACTTTTCCAAACTCCCAGTACTTACTGGTAGAAGACAGTTATGGACCAAAGCCAGGAGCTGCAGCAGCTCTCTGCTTGGTCCTGACATCAAAAAACTGCTGAGATAAGTGGAGGAGCTCCAGAGGGATGGACTCATGGAGACATCACTTTCTGGATTTATGCCACCCAAATGTAGTCATTTAAAATTTTTTCTCTGCAGGCACCAGAGTCCTTCCATTCAGTATAACTATCTCACCAGGCTTTTACCTGGGCACCTCATCTGGATGCCTAAAGCTGGGGCCGATGAAGCTTAGCTGGGGTTGGTGGCTGGCGGGGTTTGTTCCACCCATGAAGACCTTTGAGATGTCCATGTATGTGGTTCACCCAAATGATGGTACAGGTGGGGTGATCTTTCCCACAGTCCTGTAGAAGGCTCTTGGGTCACTAAGTCCTTCCATACAGGCAGGACTGATACCAGGGTCTGATGCTTCCTGAGTGCTGCTTGAAATGACCCACAGTGCTTGCAGCCACATTTGGATGGGGGTACGGATTTGTGTGTGGTCCCACTGAAACAGATGGGATTAAGCCCTGTGTGCACCTCAACCACATGAGTTGGCCTGACCTGTGTGGAATGATTCCAGACCCCAGAGAACTTGGCTCATAGTTTTTTGAGTTAATGGAAATCATGTGCATTTGTGGGGTGGATGAGTTCATCCTTCACCCTCAGGCATCTGCGGGGTGTAACTGTACACCTTTGCACTGTAGGTGACAGCCTGCACTTGAAAACACCATTGCACTTTTCAAAATTGAGATGAGTATCTGATGTGGAGCAAAGGGGCTGCCTTCTCAAGGATGTGTGAGAGCATGGAGCCCATGGCTGCAGAAGAGGTTTTAATGGTAACAAGAGGCATCCTGGTGTCAGAGGGGTGCAGATGGTATCTGAGGCTCATCATCCCACCAGTTAAGGAGGATGACAACTCAGATAGAATCATAGAATCATTAAAGTTTAAAGGGACCTTTAAGATCATTGAGTCCAACCATTAACCCAGCACTGCCAAGTGCACCACTAAACCATGTCTCCAAGTGCCACATCCACATGTTTCCTGAACACTTCCTGGGGTAGGTGACTCCACCACTTCCCTGGGCGGTCTGTTCCAATTCCTGAACAAATTTTTTCCTAATCGCTAATCTAAACCTCCCCTGGTGCAGTTTGAGGCCATTTCGTCTCATCTTGTCACTTGTTACCTGAGAGAAGAGACAGACCCCCACCTTGCTACAACCTGCTTTCAAGTGTCATCAAGGATAAGGGAACAAGTGCTCAGGCTCCAGTGATTAAAGGCAGTTCTGTCCATTCCCAGATCCTGTAATGCTTCAAATCATCCCCCCATGGGCGGGATCCTCAAGGGAGATTTAATGGTGTGGGATCTATCTGGGAACCTGGTACTTGTTTTTTTATTTCTCTCAGAAGTGTATTCAAAGTCTCATTCTTCCTCTGTCTCCCATTCCCAGCTGAGAGCAGATGCAGGTGTTCCTCACAGAGCACATTCCCCCAGTGTACCCTGCTGGCACTGCAGGGACTCACGGGGACACAACACTGAGGTTCTGGACCTCTTGTTGTTGTGGGGATTCTGCATTTAGGTCTACTAATTAAAGCTGGTAATGATGCCTCCAGCTGAGCTGCTTCTGTTCATTCTTTTTCCTAAAATTGTATTTTTCTTGGTTTGTTTTTCTTTTTTGGCAGGAAAAAACTAGAAAAGAAAAAAGCCTAGGAGTTAGCTTAAATCTAATACTGTGTTCTCAGCTGATTTTTTCAAATCACTGTGCTGTGTTGCAGATGTAAGCTGCAGTTTAATCTTCTGTGAGCTGAACACTGCATGCCAACCCTATGGAGGTGGATCGGAGTCTCCTAGGAGATAATTCAGGGCAGATGTCACCCTCTGGTGGAGTCTCTCCCTCTCTCCATGGGCTGTAGAGGAAGCCAAGAGAGATTAGCTAGGCAATTTAGCAAGGAAAATTAAGTGCCTGTATTGAGGCAGCACCATCTCCCCAGCCCAGCTCTTGTCCTGGTGCTCTTAGTGCATCGTGAGAGACACGGCACAACAAGGTCAGCATGGGAAAGGGGGTCTGGGCTGATGCTAAACCCTTCTTGGTGGGGTCACGTGCAGCAGCAGCAGCAACTACTGAGGAACTCCTTCCTGGGCAATTCAAAACTGAATGTCACAGGTCACAACTGCTAAAACGCTTCCATTTTGGATGAAATCACATGTTTTGTTGTATTTTCTGTATCCAGTTTTTGGCAACATTTTATTGGCTAGATATGTTGATACTCTGAACACCAGTTCCAGACAGGAGGAGGAGGAGAACTTCCCTTCTGCAAAAGCACTTTCCTGCATGTCAGAAATGTTCCAGTTTTGCTCCAAGGGTCTGAAGAAAGCCCAGTGACAAAAACCACATGCAGAGGACACAGAGGGTAGGTTTTAATTTAGAAGGAAATACAAATCCAGTGATTATGTTCTTTTATATATTGAAAAGTGTACAAAAATCAATGATATTTAAATGAGCTTATTAGGATGATGAGTGATTTTACTTATAACCTCTATAATTCTAGCTCAGGTTTGTAAAGCCTCTGCTCTGCTGGCCAGGTGCCTTACCAAATTGCTCCATCATGATCCCATTAGAAGTTTTTTGGGGGAGTTTACATGCTCCGCTTTTGCCTATAATTTGGGCTAATTTAGTGTGTGTGGCTGAAATGAAGTCATGCTGGTGCGTGCACTTCAGTAGCAGTTCATGTACACTCTGGAGAATATACATCCACTGATAGTTTTGTACAGGGGTCCAGGGCTGATCACCATTTCTTCCCAATGCCATGGAGGCACGAGGAGCCTGAGGCGATGCTGGGAAGAAGCAAAGGAGACCCCAGCACAAGTGAAAATCCATCCCTACGGATGTGGGCTTGCTTGGGCCATGAGTGGAGAGCTGGTCTCTGGTTGCGATGGCACACTACTGCTGCTGCCCAGCCTGCTGCTGCTCGTGCCTTCTTGGATCCATCTGGGAGCATGTGCGTGGCTGCACTCCCAGCTGATGCTGCTCATGAGGCACACCACGGTGTCTCCCCGTGCTTTGTGAGAAGGGGAGGGACTTGGTGCAGCTTGGGGTCAGCCCAGTCAGGTGTCTCCCCAGGGATGTTCAGCCAATGAACAGTCCATGGCTGCCCACCCTTATTCCAGCCATGGCTCTTTCCCAGATTCCAGGGGCATCCCACAGGGGTCACCTATGGGTTGCAGGGAAACTGTCCCGCAGCCACCAGCATGGTCACACGAGCATCCCTGTGACATGGTCCCTGGTCTGCCATTGCCCTCTGGTCTGTGGGTGTCTCTGGCCATGGGCTGGTTCCAGGGTGAGCAGTGTGGGCGCAGCAGGCAGTGGGTAGATGGCAGCAGAGCCATGGCAGCCAGGTGGATGGTCAAGGAGAAGTTCTGAGAAATCACCAACACACAGAGATATTTTTTGGCTTTGGATTTCCTGGAAGAACCATCTGGAGAGGTGAGGACAGGGTGTGGGGGAGTGGGGCTATCCTCTGCCTGTGCTGGGTACCCCTGTCTGAGCACTCACACCACGTGCTGGGGGAAGGTGCAGGGACCAAAATCAGGGCAGGGCAGACTTGAGGAGAGCACCATCCTGCCCTGCTGCTCACCTGTCCTCTGAGACTTCTAGGAACTAAAGCAAGAATTCTACAGCAGCCCTTGTTTTTGAGGAATACTGAAAGTTTATTATCTTTTTCACAACAGTGCTGGTGCCTGGAGGTGACAGCCACAGCGCCTGTAAGGGGTCTGAAAACTCTGCCTAGACCTAAGATGACAAATATTTTCAGTGTTTTGAAATTCCCACTGAAAGTAAATAAATAAGCACTTTATGTATATATATATATATATACTCTCTCTCTCTAAATAATATGTATTATGTATGTAATTATTTTATTGTGATCAGTGCATTTTTCAGGGCAGGATGAAGCTGAACCAGTCAGAGATGCCAGCAGGCAATGGCCATTGGTCACAGCCCTCCTCGGAGTACACACAATACCTCTGAACTTTAAATAACTAAAGGAGTTATTTCCATTGTGAAGATAGGCCAGCTGAGCATCCTGCAGCTGGAGGATAAGATATACCCAAAACACCCTAAGTCTGCAGCTTGTGTTAATTAGTTTTGTCTTTTCAGAGGGGAGTTGAGCACCTTTCCTAGGACAAACCGACTAGTGATCCCTCAGCTCTAAGTCACCCTTCCCTGGGGGCTGGATGGGGCAGAGGGCAGGACTGGGTGACTTGGGGGCAATTTGGCTGCTAGATAAGCTTGGCACTGCCCTGAGCCAGCACTGTTGGCACACATTTCCCTTCTCCTTCTCATTTCCTTCATGGTTTTATGGATCTCACCCACTGCTGCTCTGAAGTTCACTCTGGGCATCCTGGAAGAGGAATTAAATAACCTCTGTATTAAATAACACATAGATTAAAACCCACAACAAGGGCATGAAGGGGAAAGACACTTCAAGGACTGGATTTTGTCCCAAAACACAGGATGTTCTGTTCCAGAGATGTGTTCCCCAGCATGTGGTAAATGATGGCTCAAACAGGAAACAGGTTTTATCCATTTTATTTAACCAATGAAATTCCTACTGATAACAATGAAAGTAATTTCAGCAAGTATAAATGCGATACAGTTTTAAACAAACCCCATTGTTCCGTACCTATAAATAGATTTTTCAAAACCTCATAAAAAGTGCAGATTTATGAATTGCTGTTAAAATGTTAATACATGATTCCTTTGTTTAAAAATGCGTTTTTGTCTCTTAACTCACAAAAAAAAAAGTTCCTTCTGCATCTGTTCAGATAAATTCAAGTCGGGTAACTTAAAAACTAACAAAAGTCACACACACAAAAAAATCCATCCCACTAGGTCAGTCTGTCCTCTGCAGAAAAAAAACAAACCCAACCAGCAACAACAGAAAAAAAAAAAGATAAAAGCTGCTCTGGGAACCCACAGTGAGCTCCTAGCAGCTGCCTCACCTTGCAGGCAAACCTCCTGTGAAAGTATGAAGCCTGTAGCCTATCTCCAGAGCTCAGGGCAGGTGGCCCGGGAGGCAGGACAGGTGATGTGCCACCTGCCTGCAGGATGCTGTAGGGACTGTGGGACCCATAGAGCTACCACGCTTCCTCACTTTGTGGTGGTGGGAGGGAGCAGCAGGATCAGAGCTTTGTCCTTAACCCTCCATCCTGAAACATCCACATGGCTGTGGCAGAAGGAGGAAAGAAGCTGAGAGCTGCTGGGCTGGGTACAATTTACCCCCTGTCCAGAGGGTCAGAGGTGGGAGATGCAATGAAACACCCCTCCCCGGGCACAGCACTGCCCTGCCCTGGCCTGCCTGCCACCCCAGCCAAGGGGGCTTAGACCCACAGCTGCCAACAGAGAGCCAGCACTGCTTCTTTCCCCGACGTGCCAGGCTCTGCAGGCAGCAAACCAAGGGCTAATTTTTGCACTCTAGAGAGGCTTTGAAGCTTTTCAGCTGCACTGTGACAACATCTGCAGTCCAGCGGCTTGTCCATCCATCCCTCTCACACCAGCAAGGCTCACGTTCCCCACCCAAGCACTGCTGAGCAGACTGTGGGGGGAAAGCCAGCGGCAGGCTTATGGGCACAGGGGGCTGAAACACATGCCAGACCCAAGTCTTCCTGGTGTTTGGGTCCAAATGTAGTCAAACACAGGGTGGCCGTGCAGCTCTGATCGTGCTTTTTGCAGAGAGGGGCTCAGCTCACCCACAGTCCAGAGAGAACAGCTGGCACTCCTCTCTGTATCTACAGTGGTATTTTATCTACAGCAGGGTCTGTTTAGCAAGAGCAGTTTAAAGTGGCTATGTTTATCAAGTTTGCTACTTTATGAATTTAAAAAAAAAAAAAAAAACAAAAAACAACAACGAAACAAAAAACCAAACCCCAACAACTATAAATACAAAGACTCTCACACACCAGACACTTGCAGCCTGCGTGACTCATAAACTGCATCAATATTCTGTTAAAAAGCTTATTCTACTTAAAACTATACATAGTACAAGAGACCGAAAAGTGGCAGTCGTGTACGGGCACGCTACCTGCCCCAGGGTGGCCCACAGTCAGGTGCTTCCTAAAAAATCAAGGAGTTACAGTAACATGGCACAGGACTGCAAAGCCGATCACAGCTTCTGCTTACACTGCATACGAAGTACCAAGGGGAACACAAAAAAGAACTGGTGTTAATACTGATGGATTAAAGAGTAACTATAAAGATCAAAACAGACGTTCACAGCATGCTACATATATTGCTCACAAACTTTTTTTTTTTTTTTTTTAAAAAAAAGACTAATACAAAACAAGGAGTTGGCAGTCTGATTTTCAGTTATGTCGGATAGAAAGATAAAGCGTATACATTCATCGTGTGGCTTTCCAGCAAAAGGAGAAGAGGGTAAAACCAAGAGATTTCAAGTTTACAAAATTCCTATTTTTTTAAGCTACAGTTTATATCCAGTTCCGGTCACAGTTGTGGAAAGATCTCTGACTGCATTGCCTTGCAGAGTCCAAGGGCTGTAGCCTAATTGCTATTATTTTTTCCCTAAAAGTGGCTGCATTACTCACCACCCTGAGTGGGCTGCTCCTGCAGGCACTTGGGCATGTGGCAGCCGGGTTGGAGGGAAGAGGTTTGGGTCTGGTGGCACGACATGAGCATGAAGTGAGGAATGAGAAACAGTTTTGGACAGTGCATGTTCGGACCTGCTGCTGTCGCTGCCCCTCAGACCCCTCAGCTGGAGACACAATGCTTGGTGATTCACCCATTTTGCCTGAAAACTCCCGTCAAATGCCTGATGGGGGCAAGAAAATGCAATTCAACAGTGGCAAGTTTTTCTTGGGCAGAATTGACTGGTTCCCTTCCCCTGTTCCACCTGTGGAGTAAGCAAAGGGTCCCAGCTCTTTTCCCAAAGTAGCCCTCTGGTCACCTTGGAAGGAGGTATCTTCCACCATCTCCCCTATGCACAGGCATAGAAAAGAACCTCTTGGACACATCAGTGAAGTTTCTGCAACTGACCAACACATCAACTCCTCCTGTGCTGGCCGTGTTCCCCTCAAGAATGCCTGTGATCTGTACCTCCTGATGCTGATAGCACAGCTTGCTCCCCACAATTAGTACAATAATTTGCATCTTCAGTACCACCTCTAACTGCCTTCAGGAACAAGGGCAGAATTCAGGTTTATATTTTCCACAAGCCCTGATGATACTCAGCACCCATAGAAACACCCAACCCTGCCGCTGTCTCCAGCAGCCACTCCACAGCGTGCATTTGGATTTTTTTCCCATTGGTAAGTGAAAAACCCAAATCCTCTTGTTCCAGAGGCTGGATGCAGTCTGCCAGGCTGCAAGACACCTGAGGTGATGCTGACCCAATGGCCCTGTAAGCCTGCCTGGCACCAAGGGACCTCAAATCCCCCATTAGACGTCCCTCAGAGAAACCTGCACAGTCAAATAGCTCAAATATGGGGTGCTTCACCAAAGAAAATGTTTCCTTAGTGGATCCACTGGATTTTTACTGTAACTCCAGAGATTGGCTCTTACATGCTACTGGCAAATGCTACCTAAATATACTGAGTTTCATCCTTTCAAACCACATATAGAATTTTCCTGTCCAGAAATAACCTAATATGGCAATTAAGTGTTTCTAAACATAAGAAAGAGCCTCTGCACTCAACTCAATCTTGTTTTTTCAAAGTTAAGGCTGGGAGGTTGTCCCTGCATGGTTGCTCAGGGCTGTGAATTGGGAAGACAGGAAGCACTTGATGGAGGATGGGGGTAGTGACAGGTTGGAAAATGACAATTTTTACCCCTAATGAGTGGCAGAAAGATTAAATGTCTGCAAAACAGACCTGATGTGTGTTGGGGGAGCAGCAGCATGACCACATGACAGGAAATGTGCTCTACGGAATAAATTAACACTGATCAAGATGCTCCTAAAGTTTCCTCACACTACTGTGCTCTCTCCATCTCCCACACCTGTGATCTATGCAGTAGGTATGAAATGCTAAATTAATTTTCATTTGGAGATAAAAACTTTCACTTACAATTCCTAGATATAGAAAAGCTGGTGGACACATCTCTTCAGAGAGACATAGTGCTGGGGGACATTAGGGATTGTAAATCTGAAGTCCAGACAGTGAAAACTGATATTTTTGTCCAGCTCTTGGAATGATCATTAACAGAAAATTAATTCTTACATCTTTATATTCAGATCTGCTCTGGGAAAGTTCATTTACAATGAATCCACTCCCCTCTTCCTTTATTTTGTGCAACATCACCCCTTATGGGAGAAGGATCCAAACCTCTAAGGAAAGTAACTGAAAGAACATCACTTGAGATCAAGAAGACTTCAGTATTTTTTTCTAGCCAAAACTTTTTAGCCCAGGCACAAGTTATCCACTTACTACCTCAAATGAATCTTTTCTGCAAGTAGAAGTTAAATAATCCAGCTCTTCTGAAAGGGAGTCCAAATTCTGGAACATGAGCCTGAAATGCATGCCTATGTTCATGGAAAACACACATGCATGAGAAACATTGAGAACCTGTTCTGCAAGAGCAGCAGCTTACAGTTTAACTGCTTTGGGAGAAATTTCTGTAAGCCTACATTAAGTCCCCAAAACAACCCATTTCATTAACAATTGCTGCAAATCACATGGATCTGGCACACATTATTCCTTTAATCTCTATGGAAACTAATTGTATTCTGTTGAATTTAGGTGACTAAGTTTCTTTAAAAGTCTGACTCAAAAATGCAAGTGGGCACCTGCTAGGATTTTGCTGAGTGCCTGAGTGCTTAATTGTCCACTGAAATTTAGGCAGCTAGCTGCTTTTTCCAAACCCATGAAATTATCTATCAGCATCACTACAAACAAAAATACTTTTGAAGAATTTGGTGCTTTGAACTTCTGCACTCAAGTAACAGAGCAGCAAAATGTGTTCCTTTTTGTTCTGTTCTGATCTGTTTTACATTTATAGAGACCTACATATATAATTGTTTACAATCACTGATTTTCCTGTCCTCAAAGGCTTTTTTTAATACATAGGAAGAGCTGATAGTGGCAATTCTTTAACTCTTACAGCTGGAAGTACATCCTTTTCAAGGCTCAAGGTGCTGGTCAAAGGAGATGATTGTCCTGCTCTACGCTGCATTGTGCAGCTTCACTTTGAGTTCTGTGTGCAGTTTGGGGCACCACAATATAAAAAAGACATTAAACTATTAGAGAGTGTCCAAAGGAGGACAACAAAGGTGGTGAAGGATCCGGAGGGGAAGCCATATGAGGAGTGGCTGAGGTCACTTGTCTGTTCAGCCTCAAGAAGATTGAGGGGAGACCTCACCAATCTCTTCAGTCTTGGGACCAATGGCCAGTGACAGGACTCGAGGGAATGGCATGAAGCTGTGTCAGGGGAGGTTTAGGTTGGATATCGGGGAAAGGTTTTTCACTCCGAAGGTGGTTGGTCACTGGAACAGGCTCACCAGGGAAGTGGTCACAGCATCAAGCCTTACAGAATTCAGAAAGTGTTTGGACAGTGCTCTCAGGCACATGGTGTGACTCTTGGGGATGGTCCTGTGCAGGACCAGGAGTTGGACTCGATCTTGATGGGTCCCTTCCAACTCAGCATATTCTATGATTCTGTGATTTGCATTTTAATGAAGGCTTTAGGGCAAAGGATATATGTTTCAGTTCAGCCTTGATGAAAATAAATCCATCTACAGCTCACCAAAATTCTCCTACAACAGTAGCTCTAGCAGCTATCTGCACAAACTGCACCCAAGTTTAAAATTATTATTTCTGTTTTAAAAATTATTTCTGTTCTTTTATGATGACAGTCTCGTGATGTTCAGCTGCGGGTAGAGTGTTCCGGAAAATGTAAATGCTTTCTCCAATTGGCACCTTTTTCACTTCTCTTCATTACAAAAAAGAATGTAGGAATTTCAGCAAGGATGTACTCTACTGCAACACACATTTTAAAGTGACTCTGCAATGATAAGAAGCTGTCCATGCTCAAAAGATCTGTTCCCTACTTACAGTGTTCCCTGTGCTAGTTGGTTAATTTGTACCTACCAAGCTTTCTCTTCAGTAGACAGGAGACTGTACACTTTGTTTTTATGTTGGTCATGGCTGGGATTTTGTAGACTAACATTAATGCTGGTAATTGTCAATTTCAATAAAGGAACACAGAGGGAGAGTATCTACACTTCCAATGATTATCTTACTCTTAAGAAAAATATTAATGAATGAAGTGTGAAGATTCACATTCACGAGTGCTTAAAAATGCAAAAAAAATCCAAGAACACTTGCACATTAAAATTTGGCACAGTGTGAACCTAAAGTGTGCGAAAAGAGTATGGTAGCACTGTCTGACTTTAAACACCTATTCTGAACAAACATCTATTAAAACCCCAAAATTTGATTATAAAAACTAGGCTATAAATTGCTGCACTGTAAATGCAATACTTTGAAAAAAAAAAGCCATGTGGAAAACTTTACCAGATATTTCAAGTTTGCATTTAATATTTAAAAAAAAAATTGAAATAGCAAACTTGCTGTACCATGACATTTCCTATGAAGGAATGTCTTGCAGGCCATATGTGACTTGATATGGCTCCTTAAAAAAAAACAAAACAAAACACTGGTTTACTACAAATTTTATGAAGCAATCCACTTATGGTTTCTGTATTTCAAATCTGCTCATGCACTTTGCTCATGGTTTCTATATTTCAAATCTGCTCATGTACAGAAGGCATTTGAGCTAGCAAGTATATTTCATATGAAAGAAGTAAAGGCACTCATGATTCCAAATGTAAAACTCAACCTACCCAAGAAGTCTTTGCATTTCTGAAGGGAAACTAAGCCATCATATTAGTTACCCAAATCTAGTTTCACCTCCTTTACAGAGCTTAGCTGTGCTTCTTGAGAACTACTTGACTTTTCAAAACAAAGGAATTTAAAATAGTACTGAACAGTTCCCATCACTTGAAAAAAGCAAACTTCTGTATGAAAACTTCTCTCAGCAGAACTGTTCTATGCACAAAAGCCATTATGTATGGCCACTACAATCACAGGAGGGAGGAAAAAGAATCATAACAACTTAGAAAGTTAATCTAAGTTCATACATATGAGCATCTCAATAATTCTGAGAAATCTTTGCAGTTAGCTATACAAGATAAATAAATCTGATGTTCTATCCAATGCTTTCTCTAGAAGACAGTCTGATGCTGTCTGTTGGGTAGTTTTCTAAATAGCCAACATGACATTAAAAAAATTAATTACTGATTTCTTCCTCAAAAGGTTTTCACATGCAGAGTCTGCAGTCTGAAAGTGCAGAAAAGTGTACAATCATTTAGCTTTCCAATCTGGAACAGACAGATAAAATGGAAAAACCAACATGCGAAGTCACAGCAAGGATCATAAAAGGGAAAAAAGAGAAAACTAACTTTAGAAGAGTACTGGTCCAGGATTTTGTAAATGAAAAGTGTCAAAATATGACTGGTAGTATTTTTTTAACTATTCTGCAATCACTAATGAAAAAAAATTCGGTATTAATTTCTACAATCCAATGGAACATTAAAAACAAACCTGACTAGTTAGTTTTGAATGTATGCCACAGAAATAAAGGTCACCCTCCTCAAAAGAAATATGAAAAGTCCAAACCAACAGAAAAAAGTTGAAGCAGTGACAACTTGTGTTCTACTGGGTAAGTTTAAGCATCTCTTTAGGCACTTCACTGGTTCATTAATGCAATACAAAATAAAGCTATAAATATCAACATTTTGTGCTCTTAAAATTAGTCAAAAGCAACAAAAACCAGCACAAAAGTGTGACATTTTTGGCAGCTTATTTCTTCCCTTCCCCAATATTACTGGTTGTCCAAAAATGCTTTGTTTTGGGGATGCTTTGGCATCTCAGTATCAGGTTGTCTTAAGCCGTAAAAGCTAAAACAAAACTGCTAGGCCTTAGACAATAAAGAAATTTGGTTTTAAAATTTCTTTATGGCTATATAAGAAGGACACTTTAGCAGTGGCATGTCAGGGAAAAAAGCTTGCTTTCTTTTTAAATATTGCACTTTTCTTTTGTTCACTCACACTAATGCATAGAAACTTTTTAAACTTTGAATATTACAATTTCATGCTATGAAAAAGTTATGGGAAGTAAATTTCTATACATCCAATATGAAAGAACAGATATGCTAGCCTTCCTTTACTTTCCTTAGTTACAACATTGATAAAGGAGAGAGTGCAAAAAACCCCACAACCCTATTTTTGGTCAGCCTGCGTATTAATTTTATAGGTGCCAACTAAAAAAATTGCAACATGTGATGAGCATGGATATTGTCAGGACAACTGAGGGTGACTGTCAGTAAAACAAGATTATGCATGATTGAAACACAGTAAGTGTGACTGAAATGGCAAATCATGAGGCCTCTTCTCTTGGGAAGGGGCATGACAAAGCAGATGAATTTCGCACTTCAGTAGCATGCTGTAGGATTTATCAAGATTAATTTCACATTAAAGTGTGCTCGATGTTTGCATCCACATCTCGCATCACCTCCAATTGCTGTAGTAAGACAGTGACTGGCAGCAGTCTCCGGGAGACACAGAAGAATCCAGTGGGCATTTCAATGCAACACAGCCCGCGTGTCTCTGTCATGAGTCACGACATGGTGGTACGTTCTCAGGACAGGCAGAACTGATCTTCTGCTGGACTCCACTAATCTGAAACATGATTGCTTGGAAAAAGAAGTCTCTAAGCACTTCACTCCAGTGCTTAAAGAGCAAAGCGCTAGGATTGGATATAATAAAAACAGTTTCAGGATCCTGACCACTGCGCAGAAATCCAGGCGGAAACAATGCAGAGTAGTGCTCCTCAGTGTTACTTTTGTTATCATTAGTAATGTTAAGCATCAAGAAAATAAAACACGTCATTGCACATTACAGCCGCCAAGAAGCACGGCTAAACTTTGACACTAGAGAATTGAATAACCTGATGCTACATCACAAACAGCTTCTGGTGTGTATCTATTTCAAAAGGTCTTTACATACTTAGTAAAAACTTCTTTACTCCTGCCCAGCAAATCCTTCAGGTTAAGTGACGAGTTATGGCACGAAGGGCATACAGAAGTTCGGCTTGCATCCGAGCTTCCATTAGAAGTAGATTGACATGAACCTGTTAAAAAAAATTAAATCAGCCATTTAGCTCACCTCTGAATGCAACATCATTATTTGTTTAGGTTAAAATTTCCTACCTTTAGTAAAGTATTGCTGAAGAAAACTATGTCCTTTCCTCCAGTACTCTCCTGCAGTATTACAGTTCCTCTTGAGATTGTTGTGTAGTATGCCAATATGGACAACATTCCAAGACTGCAAGAAACTAGCCTCAACTGCTGCTTTAAGCAATCTTCCATCTGAGAATTCCCAATAGACCTTTTTTAAATCTTAATGGCATTAGTTCTTCCTGAATTGTACTTTGTTTTCTTTACTAGCACCTTTGAGCACTATAGGAACATAGAACAAGGAACAGTTTCCATGCCAGATTAGGCTAGCAGGCACACAAGCACTGAACCCTTGTCAGGAAGCATTTCATGGGGATATCTGAAGGCATGTTGACATCTTTATTGCTAAAAAACACCATGAAGATTATATATATATATATATAATATATATATACGAGTTTAAGTATTTTTTGATTTCTAAATCCCAAGTATTGGCATAGTTCACCACTTCTGCATTCTCAAGTTTATCTACTTTTCTTTTACAGTTGTCCATTTTATAAAGAAGCCATTCAAAATTATAATAATAAAAAAATGAAAGTATTTCCAGTACATTAAGTAGTATTTTTGTAAAACTGGTAACACTCAATGAATTAATCTCATTTGGTTTTCTCTGATTTAAAACAGTTCATTTGATAGATACTGCCGTTTTTAGGTGTCCCTATATGTTCATTTTTAAACAGCAGAGGGGTCTCTGTGAAGCCACTTTAGCTTTGAGATACATACCTTCTCTGAGTGCTTGAACTGACGCCAGTAACTATCGTACATGCGCTTGGTAGTTCTCTCTGGGTAGCAGGTCACTGTCTTTATGTAAACCTTCAGGCTGCGTTCAAGTAGCTGATTAACTTCCCCATAATCATAGTCATCATACCTAAAAATAACACAGGCAATCACTCTGTTTGATATAAGTTTTTAAAAGCATTGTCTTTTGCAGCATTATGTTCTTAAGCCTGGGAATTGGAGCATTTATTATACATGACAGAAAACTACCTGCTAACATCTAAAAGGCTTAGCAGAATCATAGAATTGTTAAGGTTGGAAAAGACCTTTAAGAACATCAAGTCCACTGTTTAGTCAGCACTACCACCATGATAAACACTAAACCATGTCCTCAAGGTGCCATATCCACATGGACACTTCCAGAGATGGTGACTCCACCACTTCCCTAGGTAGTCTGTTCCAGTACTTCACAACCCTTTTTGTGAAGACGTTTAATATCCAATCTAAACCTCCCCTGGTTCAACTTGAGGCTATTTGCTCTCATCCTGTCACTTGTTACCTGAGAGAAGAGAATGACACCCACCCGGCTACAACCTCCTTTCAGGTAGTTGTAGAGTGCGAGAAGGTCCCTCCTGAGCCTCCAGACTAAACACCCCCAGCTCTCTCAGCCACTCCTCATAGACTTTGTGCTCCAGGCCCCTCACCAGCTCTGCTGCCTGTCTCTGGACATGTTCCAGCACCTCAATGCCTTTCTTGTTGTGAGGGGCCCAAAACTGAACACAGGATTCGAGGTGTGGCCTCACCAGTGCCAAGTACAGGGGGGACGATCACTGCCCTGGTCCTGCTGGCCACACTATTGCTGATACAGGACAGGATGCCATTGGCCTTCTTGGCCACCTGGCTACACTGCTGGCTCATGTTCAGCCCCTGTGGACCAGCACCTGCAGGTCCTTTTCCACCAGGCAGTTTTCCAGCCTCTCTTTCCCCCAGCCTGTAGCACTGTATGGGGTTGTTGTGACCCAAGTGCAGGACCCGGCACTTGGCCTCGTGGAACCTCATACAGCTGGCTTTGGCCCACCAATCCAGTCTGTCCAGATCCCTCTGCAGAGCCTTCCTACCCTCCCTGCCCAACTTCGTGTTGTTTGTGAACTTGCTTTGAGATGTTGTTTTTCCTGAACAAAGTTTTCAGACTGGCTTCAGAGAAGACATTTCCATAATAATTTCTATCCTGATATCCTGATAATTCTTTTCTGCACTGGATGGAAAAGTTATACTGATATGCCAGCAAACCCACTCTAACTTCCAGACTGAGGTATTGTCTTCACTTTAAACACCTAGAATCTAAAATCATGCTTTTCACACGGTTCATTTTTCTGTTTACATAATTTAAAGTCTATTTCTAAGCCAGGGGATTTTTCTCCATACCTGATTCCATACATACAGTGGACATAGTTAAATAAAGCTCTTCTTAGCATCGTTGTATCAACATCTTCATGTGTTGCCATAGTGTTATATGTGAGGTTATATACCATCCGAAATTTCTCGTCCAGAAGATGCCCAATATCAGAATAAAGCCTGTTTACAAGGGAAAAGCCATGATTCTCCCAAGTATAGTCCTACAGGAAGAGAAGGAAATATATAAATGTACAAATGAAGTGAATTCCCTATCTGATCCTCTCTATGGCTCAACAGTTTTTGTTGTCTGATAATAATAACTTAATTCTCTTCCTCAAGTTTGCATTTTGAATTCTTCATCCACATCACCTGCTCCATTCCCCCAGATTTCTTGGCAATGAATATCATACTACAACACCCTATCTCTAGCTGGATATCATTAGCCTACAGTAGAAAAAACCCTAAGGTTCTCCTGAAGCACTGAGGGAATTTTCTTCTGCCTCGTCACTCTGAAAAGTAGCATTCTATGTGGGATTGGCCTGTAAGTTTAAAAACTTGTGTCTCTTGGAGGCTTTGATGCTTAGCTCTGAGCAGAGATGGAGTATTTACTTCCAGATAGGATGTAAAACCATTGGTTAAAGCACTGAACTGTCCCTGAAAAAACTGATAAAATCCAGGCTGCTTTGGTCTTAGACAATCACCTGGACTGCAAGGATAGAAGCTTGCCTGCTCCTATCAGGAATGAGAAATCTTTGCAGACTGCATGGCATCGGCAGTGGAGAACCGCTCTGCTTCAGAGAAGAGTGCAACCACAGTTCGTGCAGTGGTCACACAGAACATGTTAGTTTGCCCACATCCTTGGCAAGTGTTCGATCATTCAATCACTGATGGTAACTTTAACAATCAAGGGGATCATCTCCATGTCCTTCCTGTGCCTAGCTATTTACAAAAGGTACTGTTGGACAAGGGTCTTCTCCTAGGCACTTTGGAGCATGTCTACTCTACTGTCCCCCTGATTAGGATAGTGGGGAAGAGCATGTAGGATATTACTCGGTTGCCTAACAGAGGCATTCCGTGACATCTGAAACATGCCACAACATCACACTGGGCCTTTGGCTGCCAGTACAAAAGACCAAAAGGCATGTGAGAAATATGCCCTACCTACACAGCCCTGGAAAGGCGTCCAGGACACCTTGGGCATCACAAAAGCCTCTGAAAGCCAAAAGGCCCAGAAGCGGTAAAGTGCTGCTCACTAACAATGAAAAAAACAAAAAAAACCCCTCAAGTTTAAACACATTTTGCTGTGCATAGAATACTTTTTTCTATTACTGAATTTAAACCCACAGAGATAAAGCAGTCTTGCTTTATCAGAATAAAGATTAGATTTTTTTGCAGGAGTTTGGGATACTACTGCAATTTAAATACCGTCAGCAGCAAAGCATTTTTGAGGCTGTGGGTATATACACCTAATTGTTAAAAGCCAGACATAAAAAAGTTAAATTATCAAGGTGACTCCTTTGAATGGAGGCCAGAAGCTCTTCTGTTTATTTAAGAGTAGAGATGTTTTAGTTCCAATTTTAACTTCTCTAGAGCTTTTATCCAAGGGAGCCTGCTGCTCCTAAAGTAGTTAAGCAGAATGTTTGATTTATAGGCACAGACTTTGCCTTATTCTTTTTGGCAGTAACAAGTTACTTCAGGATCATATAAAGACCACAGAGTAAATTATCCAGATAGGTAGAGATTGCTATACAGATAAATACATTTCCTGAGAGTGACTGTGGATTCTGTATTTTACAGTCTTAGATACATCTTCTGACCATGAAGTTTTCCTACACCCACTGTTGTTTTAATTGAAGTTGTCTGATTTGGTTTAAGGTTTCTTTCATTGCTTTCAATTTATTACTAGACTGATCATTAATGTACTCTATTAAGATAGAACAGAACAACTTAGAATGTCCCTCCTGTTATATATTTTACAAAGTTCAGGATTCTGGTCATGGAAAAAGATGCCAATATATAAGAAAATGCACAGATAAAATGTGCATGCTGTTCTTTCAATAGCATGCATGTACAAAAGATGTATTAAAATATATCAAAAACTTCAGTAATCATTTTTAGGAACTCCTTTTCTTTCCCAGCATCCAAAATCCAGTGATATGGTGCACATATGAGAACAATACTCACTAAATGGGTCTCAGAGAGATATATATATATACAGGTATTGATAACCACTGGGCAGAGAATACTAGATAAAAAGATGATAGGAATAAAGAGTTCCTCCAGTGGATTTTTTTTAATACAACATCTAGAGGGATGGGAAAGAAATTGTTTCTTTTCTGCCTTTCACTTTTATTCCAGGTGTAGCGATATGCTTTACAGTTTTAAAACATTAATACTGGTAATAATGGACATAAAACAGAAAGCCATGTACTACCTTGTCTGAGATTTAAAAATAGTAAAAGACTCCATCTCAGGGACACCTGTGGAAGCTTGTGAGTTATTTAATGGATGAGGACAAGAAAAGGAGCATGCAAAAAACATGCCCCACTACAACCTCTTTAATGCTACTTGCCCTGTAGTGAGATACATGAACATTCTTTGAGTGAATGTGCTTTAAAGAGATGGTACCTGAGCTCTGAATGTTGGCAGATGGTCTTCTCCTCGCCTTGCAAAGTCTTTGTACCCAAACCCAGGATCTTCAATATAACGAGAGACATCTGTAGAAACTATTTCATCATCAAATGCTGTGAATAAAACAGCAAAATGCTTTGCTTTAGGCAAGCATGTGATTTAGTGCTGATTTCCATCTACCACTCTATGACAGGACTAGAGGACAATTTTAGAAGTCGTGCAAAGGAGAAGAGTGATACAAAGGAGAATAGTGGTACAAAGGAAAGAAACATTTCAATCCTAATCTGCTTGTATGGGATCCATCGCTTTCACTGAGCCTACTAAATGTCAGCCTGTACCAGACATCTTAACGTACTTCTACAAAAAGGGAAGAGATGGGCTAAACTTCAAACTGGTGGTTTGCTTTTCTCTCTGCTGACTTCTGAGGGAGGCTAGATATCTTAAATCAGGAAGGTGAATCCCATTAGTAAGGTCATTGTGTTTGGCTAAGATACAGAAAAATGTACCCTTGACAACAGGATTGCTACACTGAGCAGGTATGGTGTCAGGAATCACACCAGCTCTGTTCCATAATCCGGAGTATGAGCAACCAGACAGCAATGCAACACTCCACTTGTAAATATCAGATGAAGATTTTATGAAAGCAAAGAGCTCTACAGTACATCAGGGTGAAATTCTGCCAGAAGCTCTAGTAACTAAGCATCTTCAAAGAGCTCCAAAACATATCACTAAGCAAGCGCAGGTTCTCTATCAGGAATCAATATTTCCCTCACGAATAAACAGGTGGCTTGATTGTGTAACTACCTCTGCAGAAGTTGACTACTGCATAGCTGACTGCATTTGACCCTGATGTTAAAACTGTGGCTCGCTTCCACATGCATTGACAGAACAGTTGCCATATGTCCCCAGTTAGCACCTTGAAAAGTCAGTTAATTTAAGAATTGCAGAAATGCTTTATCTCCTCTTTGCCTCATTAAACAATCAAAACATAACTGTGTAGGAAGAAGCTTGCACAACATCTGCCACAGTAAATTCTCAGCAAAGAATAAAAAAACCTGTATACATACACTCCTCTCTCCTGACAAGCACTGAATTTCATGAAAGGGTAAAGGCCCAACACACACAGACTCCTCAGCTAAAATCAGCAAAAGGCAAAGGGGGAGTAAAGTCAATAAAACTATTAGCAAGATCATCCAAAAAACCCTTCAGTCCTTTTCCTCATATGCCTGAAGTTGCAGAGACTCATGGAAGTCATGATTTGATAATGCAGCTGCAATGACTGTCTGTTTATCTGCACTGCTGACACTGCCTGACTACAGGAAAACAGAGCAAGAATATACAATGACCATTTCTAAAAATCCAGCCACAATGTTGTTGGATGTATCTTCTTTCAGAGACTTTACATGTTCCTAGAGATCCACAAAACAATCTCTCTGCTGATCCGCAACACATTCTTCCTCCCTTTTGTGCTCATTGCACAAAGACACTGATACCTTAAAACACATTTGGTCTAAAGCTACTGAGAACTAAATTTGCTAAGAATAGTGTAGTAAAATGTGAAGCATTTTATGGGTCACTTCTCAAAATGATACAAGCAATCACCTTCAAGTAGGCTCTACTATGAGGAAATAGCTGGAGATTCTGATTGCCTTAATAATATTCTTTCTTCTAACACTTTCTTTGCAAACAAAACCCCATCTTCCTGTCTACAGGAAGCAGACTTTGTTTTGTGGTTTGTTAGAAATGGCAGCCTCCAGAGCATATGAAGAATATGGAAAAGAAGGTTTCAGCTCAGAATTTTGAACATTATTTAAAAATAAAAAAATGCTATGAATCTCTATCACAACACAGGCAGTGGAACAGCACAGCAGTATGATCACTCAGAACGGCAAGTTATGAATGTCCTTTCCAGCTGGGCAGTAAACGGTGAAGAAGTTGAGTCTCATTCCAATCTAATTCCTAAACTAAATGTCATATCTGAAGGCTACTTAGGAATGTCATTGAAGTTCTAAGTGCTGTAGAAGGTAAACCTTTGAAGTATTAATGAATATTTATATGAATGAATTATTTTGAAGATATAGAGCATATACAGAAAGAGAAATTTACTCACTACTTTTTAAAGAAGCCTTTTTTTTAATACACAAAAGCTAAATTTCAAGTTGTGAAAAGGATGGTGTTATTTGACAATCAAGAAATCTTAAGCAGATGAAGCAAGTGACAAGACCACCTAATACACTCCTACTTCATGAAGAGCCAGAATAAAGAAACAGAAAAAGTTTCAGTCACTGAACTACCCTCAAGTATTTTTTTCTTACAAAGCATAAACAAAATAGAACTGGAAAAGCACAAATACCTCCACTAATTACTAGCAGACTCTCCTTCTTCTCCTTTTCAAAGCGAGTTGCCATTTCTTCCTGAGAGGCTTCTTCATCCTCTTTATCTTCTTGTAGTCTCTTCATCCTTTCCATCAAAGCCTCCAGCTCACTTAAAGAATCTGCAATCTGCAAAAACACCATGACATTCTGCAAAATTAGAAGATAGACAGTGTGTGTCATCTTCGGATTTCATGCTTGACAACAAGTGCTCTCAAAACCAGACAGCAGCAGCAAACACAAAAACTGACGCCAGAATGCATTTTGTCACATACAGCACAGACAACAGCTTTCAGACAGCAAGAAGACAGGACCTGGGAAGCATTAATGTAACCTGTTGCAGTAATTTCTGCAGTGGGATTAACAGCATAGAGGTGGTGTTCGAACGTAGGAACCACAGTCACTTATACATTCCCTCATGTAGATAGCTCAGGAAAATCCATCTGTGGGCCCTACATCTATCAGAAAACAATTTTTAATACGAAGGTAACTTTTTTCAGTCTATTGGTAACGAAAATATGTTTCTGAAGAGATACAGTGCAATACTGCAATGCAGAAACACAACCTCAGATGGTAAAGCAGTGCTTTTCACTATGTATGTTCAAAATAACTATTATGTTGAACCCTTTTTCTTACTTTTGTGAGGAAAACAGACCACTTTTTCCTAGAAATATATCAAAGTTTTGGGTGCTCTGAAATGTACTTATCATTCAGATTTTTCATAAGATAAATTGTTTGAGTGGGTTTTTTCCATCTTTTTGAGTCTGTTCTTCTGCCTATAGCTATAATTGTTTTCTAGTATGCTGCTCAGTGCTTAACCAGCAGCACAGACTCAGCAGCAACCCTCGGCCCAGTACAAATGGGGAGTAAGACACCCTCGTTGTATGAGCTAGCATGTCTTACAGGCTAGAAGTTTAAGACACAGCAATTGAACTGAGCGATCACATGTTCACATTCTTCTACTAATTGTAAAAATTATATCTAGCGAGTCTCTCATAGTCCTGATCTTCCATCAAAGGCAACGTGGCTAATTAGTCAGTCGGCATTAATTCAAGGACATGTCTTGAAAAGCATTATAGAGCCCCTTTCAGGAAAAAAAGTTCACATTTAAGTTAATTAACTAGTAATCAAAGTTCTCTGTTGATTCAAGACTGAAACACCAGCATGAAGAATTAAGTAATTTTATTTCAGACATTTCCTCCCATCTACATGGAAGTGTTTCAGAACTGACCTGTTTTGTGATTGTAGGCCTTGAAGTTAAAATTATTATTACTATTACTACTACTACTATTTTTTCCATTTCTTTTTTTTTATTCCACATTAGAAAATGGATGCCACCATGCTCCATCAATGCCACACTGTCTGAAGAAACTGGAACTTGAAGCTTTCTGCTGAAAGCAAAGTTTTAGTCTTGCCAAATAGGTTGTGAGATTAACTATCAAAATCACATTCCTCTGACTACCATCCACAGTTACAATACTGGTTTTCCATGGATTATACAGAAAATTGCCAGGGTGAATGTAAGAATTACCAGACTGAGCACTCCCATAAAGTAGACAAAGACTTTCAAACTACCGTGAAATTTAAGCAGGAAAGAAAGGAAGAAAGTTTTCTAATGCAAAACAGAGGCAAGCAAAAGAATTTTCTTGCAACACTAACCCCAAAGTTGCTACTTGTGAGGGATGCATTTTCTATGTTGTTGTCATTGGCAAGATCACAGACACAGAAGTTGTTGACTGCTATAAGTCTGACTCCATTAGATGTATCCGGATCTCTCTCTGGATTAATGCCACTACCAAATACAAAACTTGCCAAGGCATGATAATGTGCCAACAGGACAACAGCATGCACCAGTTCAGGAAGAGACCAATTATTTTCCCCAGTCTTGACAAGTTTCTGAAATGAGAATAAAAAATGTGTAAATATAAAATTTCCTTTGGCCTCCAGCTTTTCTATAAAACACTATGCATTTTAAAACGGGATCAATTCTTTTCTTCCAATAATACCATATTCCTCTTGCACACAAACTCTCACTGGATGAAAAAAAAAAAGAGACAACTAACAGATTACCTCTTTCCCTTTGGGGCCATTTTAGCCAATGCTATTCCTAGAAAGAAAATGTTGTTGGCTTTGTCACACAAATTCTCCTGTCACACAGGAGAATTTATTAGCTTGTTCGATGCACTAGTACTTCCCTGAATTTTTTAACTCAGGGTAATGGAGCCTAACCAGACACCCACATAGTGCTTGGCAGTCCTTTTTACCACACATTTATTGCTATTTACAGGGTATGACTGAAGAGGTACCTGAATGTGCTCTTTTGTGATTAGCCAGGGCCGGTGTGCAAGGAGTTTGTTTATTTCGTTCAGATTTTTCAGTCTTTGGGGAATGTATTCCAAACCATTCAACCACTCTGCAATCCCACCAGTCTTTAGAAACTCATCAACGTGCATATTTATTAGGTAGGAACACTGATGTCTGGCAGCAGCCTGGAATAATTAAACACAGAGGGAAAAGTGCAGCACATTATCATGTAATCTGATTTTGCTGAGGGTGGAAGACAGGTTATTAACACAAAACAATGTTTTAAGTACAATTTCATTCCTAAGGCCTTGTTATATTGTTATATTGTAATGCATTTCTATACAGTACGGAGGATTCTCTAATAAAAATACATTTGTTTACTCTGAATTGCAGAATATAATTTAGGTTGGAAAAGAACACTAGAGGAGAACCCCCTGCTCACAGTAGGGCTGACTTAGAACAGGTTGCTCAGAGCCTTGTCCTGACAAGATCTCCAGCTTTGGAGATCACAGAACCTGTCGTGGTCCCCACTGCAATGTCTCAACATCCTCACAGTAAAAACTGCTCTCCTAGTGTCTACCTGCAATTTGTCATGAGTCGAATCCACTGCATCTCATCTTACTGCTGCACAGTGATGTTGGCATGTGAGAAGTGTATCGCTGCGGGAAACAGGGAATGAGGTACCTTGCCTATCTTCCTTTCTCTCTGAAAACCTTCTGGCTAGGCATGCTTTATTCTGATAAAAGTCTGCTACAAAAATTCACCCACTGTCAAAATATCACACTAATCTCTCCTTTCTAAAGTCTTCCTTTTTTCTTCCTTTTCTAAATACAAAAGTGAAAGTTGCAGGAGAAGATACACAGGCTGTTGGTACATACCATTATAGCAATGTAGTGCCTATAGGGCAAAGGAAGGGGCCCATCCATGCGCAGCATATAGAACTGGCTGCGGAGGAAAGACTCCAGGTACTGAGTATGGATACTCATGACCTGTGTGATGTTGTCCAGGCGACCAGACGTAGAATATTCTTCCACAAGAAGATTAGTACGTTCATCCAAACCATTTGCTTGCATAACCTAAAAATAAGATGGACACATTTTAGCAGAGAGAGAGAGATATTTTCTTTAGCTTTAGCCCCAGGGAGAAACATACTGTGGTATAAAAGGTTTCCTTGTGTACAGATTTAAAGGCAATGATGGAGATCTGGATGTATATTTATAAACATACATGCTTGCATGCATGCAAATACACACATACAGATCCTACTTGCATACTGAGAACTGAAGAGCACTTTATACAAAACCCCTGTTATTTTACTGTTTCTACAAAAAACAAAAACATTTTTCTGTAGATCTTTCCAAAACAGCTAAAGTCACAGATGCTTATAGTCAAACCTGTATAGAGAGCTGGAAGTAAGTAAGAACTAAATGGAAAGTAAATTATTTGTGGAAGACAGCCTGTATAGACACATACTACCCGAGCATTCAGCTCTAAAACCAATTTCAAAATTAATGGAGAGGAACTAGGTTATGTAACTAAATTATAGAAACAACCTGGCAATCTACCCCTTCTGTGCTTGTATAATTGAAGAGGAGATCAAATGCTAATTTGTCCATAACATTGAAGTATTATTTAGAATAGGAATTTAATGCTTTCTTTAAACAAAAGCTGTTCTTTAATTATTCCAACCAATCCAAACCTTGGGCACAAGACGAAATGAAACAGTAGAAGAATAAGTAGCTCTTGCATTGCAAGCCCTGACACAGTATTACTGCTATTACTCAGTGTTTATCACTAAGAACAGCCACTCTCAACATGTTCACCACTGAAGTTACAAGTGCAAGACTAGAGTATCCAGTATTTATTCTGACATTGCATAGTAATAAACCAGCCTGTTTACTATTGCAAACACCATGACATGAGAACACATTTTAGATAGCTTACTGCACATGAAGCTAGAAAGTGCCCAAAACCAGGAAGACACAATATTCTACTTCAAATACATTTTCTTTCTTTGTGATGGGATGATGAGTGGACCGTGTCTCAAATATTTTTCTATCAGATCTCATATAGAAGTTACATATAAAGAAACACCAACAACATACTACATTTTCACTTCTCACCAGTGTACTTTCCTATTTTAATTCATGAGCCCAGAAAGAAAGGGAGAAACAACTATACAGTTAGGCAGCTCCATCATTTTTACACGTGCATCTTCATTATGACAACTTTTCTGTGTTTTGTACTCAAAATGACGCCTTCTCAGTTTTCCTTAATAATGTTTTTACTGTCAGAAGTTTATTCACACATTAGAGATCACTTTATCTCACTTACTACTGTACATCCCTTCCTCTACTGCAAGGAGTCCCCCTTATTCTTCAGCAAGTATATTTAAGAGATCTTTGTCTCATTTAGTGCTTTCTTGGGGAAATCATACTTTTCAAACATAGGTTTCTAATCTTCTTCAGCTTGCCAGGGGATTTTCCTAGTAACAGTATAAATTATGGATAGAAATTCTACTGATAGCATCAAAATATAGTCAGATAGGACTGCACTGTTGCTATATTAGGTGTAGCAATATGCCACATTATTATTTCTAAGATTTATCTTTACCTCTATTACTATCCTCTTCATACTGTGCATGTATTTCCTCCTGATTTATTACCATCCATAAACATATTTTTTTGCTCTGCTTTTAAAGCCTTATGGCACTTTAACAGCTTTAAAGGAACCTTTACAATTAAGTTGTTATTGCTCTGCCCATATTCCTTCCATTACAACAATAAATCAGGCATAATAACACCAGCAGTGTTATTATCAAGATTTGTGAGACATTCAGCGTGTTACTAGTCTCTAACTAAATCCTTCCTATTTGCTCCATTATTTCATGACAAGGAGTGAGGGAAAAAGGTAGCAATTTGCTTAACAAACCACAGTTAGCATTTTTTTGTGATACTGAATAGCTGTTTTATCCATACAGCTGGAGGGTCCCTGCTTGTACTGGGCAACTGCTTGGGTTACTCCTTTCCGAGATTTCTCCTGCACCCTTGGCTAGTGCCTGTACCAAGTGTCTCAGCTTCTCAGCTTTGAAATAAATTCATTAACAATTCTCTCAAAATATGTTACAATTTTAACTACATTTATTTTTCTACTTTTAATATAATTATTAACTTTATGAGAAAAACTAGGTAATTAGAAAATTTGGCATCTCAATTTCACCTTGTATTTCACGCGAAAGGGTGGTGTTCTCTCCACAAGTTTGACTGGCTGGAACTCATTCTAATCCTCTCTTCCCAAGTTTAAAAGACTCTTTGACCTCTCCTCCTTTTTGCTTAATTATGTTTTCTTGTTGGCATCCTTTACACCCTCTCCGTTTGGTTTTAAATTTTAACCTTGTTGGTGTATACATGGAGAGAGACTCAGAGAACAGCAGCTATCTTATCTTTCACAATGTCTTTTTGGCCCTTCTGGTATGTGAATTATCTGTCTTTAGCAACTATAAGACTGTGAAGATTGAGACCACGGGAGAACACCACCATAGCAAACTTTCTACCTACTGCAGCAAACTGCAAATCAGAGCTTACCTCGAACATTCAGTCATTGGCAGAAATCTTGAGTCTGAAATCCAACCATATCTTTCAACCATAAATTCTCTCAAGAGCCACAGCTACAGTCTGAAGAGTGAAGTCATATGTGCAAACTCTCTCAAACTGAAGGTCAGACACTGCTCTGAGAGCTGTATAATTATACTGCTGCAATACTGGACAGGCCTCCCCTCAGGTCTGGCATTATGAGTAATGTGTTCAACTGCTGCCTGAGAAGAGCAGAGCTGCCACTCATGGCTGTGTCCAGAAGTGCTGGTGACTGAGAAGATGTCAAACAGCACCACTTGTGTGCAAGGACAGGGTGGTTCTCACCCACTGGAACCTGCTCAAGAGAAACAATCACTTTTGCTCTCAAGGGAGCTCATCTGGGTACCATGGAACAAGCAGGGTCATAGAACTGTCTTTCAGTATCGCTATTTTAAAAGCTATCACCCGCCTAGCCCAGCTAACTGCAAACTTACTTCATTCTCTGGTATAAAGGCACTTGGTCCTCTTGTCAATGGTGGGGAGACTTGTACTCTCTTTTCCTGTAAAACAGTCACATAATTCAGTCAGCATCAGGAATAACATACTAACTCGCTTTATCTCACAAGGTCTGGATTCAGTTCTCTTCCCAAAGCCACCTGGATGTTTTACAGCCCACTGAGGAGGTGATGCCACCACACTACATTTAAATCAGCTTTACATCCCCTGTACTTTGCCTGAAGGAATGGCACCAATTTTGGCAAGGGATAAGGCAGAAGAAAACTCAAAAAATCTAATCCCAGTTGGTTTACAGACCAGCTTGAAGATACATAGACAATAGCAACAGAACATCTGGCACAATGCTAAAATTAGCCATTTACTGGACTGAATGGAAGTTTGAAAACTGAGGGGAAAAAAAGCCACACTCAGGAAATTATAAGCAAGATGCTGGGTTTTTTTTTCAATATTAGCATCTGATGAGATCTTTAGTGTTGTGAAGAGCATAAGCACCTTGTGTGCCAAATATTGGCAAGAAAAGCATAGTCCAAGCAAACTAGCAAGACCAAATTACAGGTTTGTTCTAGAAACCTGATGAAATGGTCACCTCGCTTACTGCCGAGCCTGGAGAAAAATGCATGCAGCACAAGCCTCGGTATGCAAACCCCAGATACAAGGCATGAGGACATATTTAGTACAGAACAAGCTGATAATGTAACAAGAGCCAGAGGACTTTTTAGATTTATTAGGGATAAGAAACTGAACTAAGATAAACTCTGGAGCCTTTTACAGCATGGCTGCTGTCAGCCAGAGGAGTGAAGGGGACCTGGGGAGGCTGCCTGCTCCCCTGGATCATCAGAGGCAGGACCAGCACTGTCCATGTCATTCCTGACCAATGTTGGTGTAATCCTCCTGGAGATTCCTCTGTCTCCATGGGTCATTTATTTCAGTGACTAACCCCTCAGATTGTTAAAACGTTTTCCTAACGTCTAATCTGAATTTCCTTTGCAGTAATTTAAAGCAGTTGTTTGTTGTCTTTTCTTCTTTTCCTCTTTATGGTTATTTTCCACCTATCTGGGTGACCGCACACTTGTCTCAAGCCCCTAATTGCACTACAGCATTGGTGACTCTTAATATGTTATCCATAAACAGCAGTATTGGATTTGCATACTAAATATTTCATGCCCCTAACATAAAGTCTGAGGTTTTCCATAACAAATGAGCCTTAAATACCTCTACCGGGCAGGTTTAAGCTTAACCACCATGTGCACAAACAGCAGTGCCAGTCCCAGAATGAATGTGCCACTGATTTCCACAAAGGAAAATCAAGCCACTGGAGCTGTGTAACCACTGTCCTGATCCTTAAAAACATTCTGTCCTTTCTAAATTAGATTAAAAAATAACAAGCAAAAATCAACAGTGATTATTCAGGAAAGATGTTCCAAAGCAAACTCTCGCAGGACAATTGAGTTTGTGACTTTGGAACAATTAGCTTCTAAAAGATGCAGAAACAAGCTGGATCAATTGAGTGAAGCCTAGCAGCCAGGAGACAACTTACTGCATCTGCTACCTGCTGTCACATCCACAAAAATCCTGTAAAATTATTGTTACGTATAAAATGTACTCAGTCTAAAGTAGGATGTAGAGATACCGGGTATCTGCACATGCAACCCCTTCTTCACACAGTTACACAAGGCAAAGGAAGACATCTTCTCACTTCAAATACACAATCTTGCCAGCAGCCAGTCATTTCTGCCAACACTGAAAAAAAAGAAATGCTTTCCAAGATTGCTAGTAAGGTTGCATTTTGCTTGGTTTGTAAAGGTTATCTGAAAATTAAAGTTTAAAACCTCTATTTCATGTTGAATAATTTGAGGGAAGCAGCTTGCACGAGTGACACAACTTGGACATCTGCGCACTGTCAGCTCTCGCTGGAGCACAGGTCTAAACCAGAGCTGAACCACTGAATTCTCCATCTTGCTCTCTGATCTGTACCTTCTTCAGGCTCTGCAAAAGCTAGTACTCGAGGCAGACCAAGGCAAAAAAATCCATATGTTGCTTCTAGCAGGATCTGGGCTCCATTCCCTTGTTTTCCCATTCAATATGACTGGTATTACTCCTTTGACTCCGCAGATAAGCTATTGCTGAGAAGGAAAGGAGGAAATGGTACTTGGGTGGATGAATATAGGCAAGTATCAACAATTAATTCCTGTGAACGATGACAGAAAGCCAAGAAGATAGTCAGACATGAAAAATGTGTGTTAAATCTTTTACAAAAAGAACAAACCCAGTGCCTTTTGGGTGGTGGCAATTCTAACAAACACAAGCCTGGAAAAGAAAAAAAAAAAGACAAACAACCAAAACACCAAAAGCCCAAACACGATTATTCAAGTTGGTGAGTCTTATCACTGCACATTTCCAGGGACCTCGGTTTTTTCAATATTAGAAGTGCATACTCTTCCCCCTTCCATCAACACGAAAGATTATTTTGCCTTCATGGCAAAGCTTTTATTTTTTTAAAACTGGTTAAAACAGGCTTGTCAGGAGAAAAGGAGCAAACATCATCTGGTTGCACAAGTTCTCAGGATGCTATTAGTAAAAACATGGTAAGCTTATAAGCACTAAGAAAGATAACTTTGTTGAGCTGTAGATAAGAACCACTGCTTCTGGGCATGCTTTATCTAGAACAGTGATTTAAGGTCTACTCCAGAACCCAAATATAAAAAACTGTGTATGGGAATTAGAAAGCAACACTGCAGATATATGGTCCTTTATAGCGGAAGTTCTTGCAAAGCTTCTTGTTTTTCAAGAAAGTGGGTTTGTTTTCCTGTCCAAGTAGTCTTTGCAGGTTACACTAGCTATCACTAAGTCAGCCAGGGTCCCAAGTATCTTGTTTGAAATGGTATTCTTATGCTAAGTGGTTGAAGCAAGAAAGAGGTTGCTCAGCAACTAAAATGCTGTATGCACATATACCAGCCATTTTCTGTGTCATGTTCCTCCAGAAACGCATTGTCAGAGTAGGAATAAGTATCTCAAAAGGTTTGCAACCAATTCCATTTACATTAAGACTAGTGCCCTTCTAGGGGCTGTTTCTTCAGAAGAGAAGATGAAGAGCTTCAAAGCAGAAAAAACTGCACCTGAGCAGGTTATTGAGAGAGGGGCCGCTGCAAGCCAGAGCCTAGAAGCAGGTTTAGCAGTTGTACACTGTGGTGTCAGACAGCAGAACGAGACCTCTGCAGAGCTGCTACAGGAATTCATGAACAAACAGGCCTATATAAGCTCTATCTGTGACTTCTTCCTGTCCTTACACTGCACTTGCAATGGTGTTGGGAGCTTCATCAGGAATTTTAACAGTGACAAAGTGGAAGCATTTCCCCCTTCCCTGTCTATAAATTGCAAGAAATATCTTCATCCTTGGGTGAGCTCTGCACAAACGCCACAGAGACAAAAGCTGCAACTTGCCATCTCAAGGGTTTATTTTCAATTATGGCAGTGACTGTGCACCCTCTCTCCAGAGCCAAGATGGGCACTGGGACATGGCACCTGCATCTCAAATAGCTGCTGGGCTGCCATGGCAGATCAAGGGATGCCAGAGCCACTTGGTTGGCAATGCGGCCATGAAGTCCAAGTGGGAGCAAGCAAAAGCCCAGTTGGCACTGGAACAAGCACAATAGCTTTCCTTCCAAAGCTTAAAGCAAAAGAAATAACTCTTCTTCCTCTTCGCTATCACATGAATCACTGTGTCCTCAGGCTTTAAAAAAATGGCTATTTTTAGCAAGCTTTAAAAGGAAGCTGTTTTATTTGAGAATAGAGGTGCTAGGTGGCAGGGCTGATCAAAGAGCTGGTTTAGAAAGTACTTCTGAATGCCTATGAATGCAGAAAACATAGGCAAGAAGCAAGCGGTCACACTGCTGCAGGTGCACAGGCACTTCTCACACATGTGGCACATAAAAGCTGATTCATTCTGAACTTGACATCAAGGTGGTCATGCTTCTAGGGAAAAAAAATTCATTTTGCACATCAAGATAGAATTTTGTAAGCTGTGGCAACGCTGCCACTTGTGTCCGTGAACTCCCAGCGCAGTTCCAAGAAACCCTCATGAATGGGATCAGAGCCTCCCCTCTGACAAAATCTGCCACCGCTATGAAGACATCAGGATAATAAACAGCACCAGATCACATATAAACCCTAAAGGCATCACAAAATTAGCTTTTCCTGAGGAAAAAACTATTTCTTAAACAAGAAGGAATGTTTTTTGTGGGTAAGGTAGTAAGTACAAATTATTTACTACACCTTTTGTTATATTATAATCTACAAGCAACTTTGCTACCATCCAGCATTTATAAGGATCTTTATTATTTAAAATCAGTGTTCTATCTCTTTTTAATACACATGATCATCTGCAGCAATAATCTGAGTCAAGTCTGTCACTGAGACATCTGGATGGGAGTGGAGAACTAGGTATAGGACTCCCTGTCTGGGGCTGAATCTCCCCAAAGGTATCCGGTTTTCCCACTTTCCCATCTTTTATATTATAATTCCCATATTATAAATCTTCAAACTCAGAATACACCAGTTCAATCTCACAGATTTAATGCTGCAGAGCCCACTTTTGGTTTTCAGTGTGACAGACACAAATGCCTTGTGTTTTGGTTCACACAGTACAGGCAGCGTTATTTGCTACTGATGCTGGTTAAAACCCTACCTACAAACTGGTTTCTCCTACTCCCACTGTTGCTCACTGAATACATTTTCACTTTCAGTTCTTAGATCCTGGAGCAGGGTCTACCTTCACTGTCTGTGATCACAGTGAAATGCTCCAGGTTTCAGTAAATAATAACACAATTTTACAGTCTGGACCATCTGTTCATTCCATCCTCACTGAAGACAGAAGAAAGCATGAAAAAAAATAAAGTTGTCTGAACGCTGATTTTGTCTTAGCTTCTACTTTTATTCAAATCCTTCCTTACGATGCAGGAGGAATTTTGTTTATGTATCCAAGTTGCATTTTGGCAGAGGAAGAAGAGTTTAGAAATGTTTAGGCAGAAGAAATGCTTTGCAAGGA